TCTGCATCACCAGGAGAGCGGTTTTATGATAACATCCTCCTGGTGGGTCATTGGTCTAAAACCTACACACGCATGTATCCGGCTTAATCAATAAAGGTTCACACTTTTTAACAAATAGATATCACTATGAGACTCCCACAGTTCATATTAAGACAGAAATGTGTTGAAGCAGTTTTCCGGAATGTTATGTTTGAAAATGATGAGGTATCTTATTGAGTATGTACTAATTTGTACTAATAAGTGTTTCCTGAACAACAATCTAAACAGGTTTACAATTCTTGTTCCATTTTTTTGACAAATTACAGTCAAAGGTTTTTACAGAGGTGATTTTAGATATCTATTTGGTCATTTCCTACATTATATTGAAATGTATTAGTTTAGGATAAACCCCTTGAAATGAACCATCTCGTTTTCAAGTGGGTCCTACATCTCAAACATAGGCGTAAAAAAGGAATAATGTCAAGTTTTTAGGAATAAAAAGTTCATAAATCAGGCCATTAATGATATGTAAGTGCTACGATGTAAGTGGAGATTTTAAAACTCGAAGAAAATGTTTTGAGAAAATACTGTAAAATGATATCCATTTTGCAAACGGCATGTGATTAGGGTTAACATTTTACTCATAGACATTTTTATGAAACATACTGAGTTGATAATTTACATCATGACAACTTTGTATTACAAGTTTCTAATAATTGATGTTTGAATATGCAGATGAGACTTTGTCTAACGCTTACTTTAACTTTAGTTTAGGAGAAATCTACCGACACAAATAGACAAAGTGTAGTAACAATCAACCCCTCCATGTGTATACTGGATGTGTTGTTTGTATGGTGGGTGCATACGTTGGCCTGCAGTTTCTCACCTTCAGCGGTGAAACCTGACTCGTCTGAGGGCTGTGGAGGAGACAGGAAGCGGCTGGGTATGTTTGTGGGGTCACATGCCGACATTCCCCCCACCCCACCCTCATTTCTCTTCATTAGCACCGGTGATGAGCGGCGGGTCAGCAGAGGTCAGCGGGTCACGCCAGTTCAGGAGCCAACTCTCACTCACCTCTGTTTTCACTGCTGAGGATGCAGAGTTCACTCACTGACAACCCAACATTTGATTATTACTCAGTTAAGGTTAAAGGAAAGAGGAAGAATGAGATTGCACTTACAATTAATACGAAAGTAGTAAATGTTTATCCTTTTTGTGATTCCTAAAACTACAGAACAGGGAAAGGGCCACATATAACATTATTTTGGAGATCTGACGAAGTTCTGAGAAAGAAAGTCAGCTTTCTGAGATCAGAGCCAGTACCCTGACTTTTTTTCTCAAAATACGGAGATTTTCAGGAAAATAATATTATAATTTGTTTGAATTCTGACTTTTTTCTTAGAGTTCTGACTGAAAAAAATAAAAATAAAAGTACAAAACCCTTTCCCAAGATATACATTTAAAGTGAAAAGGGAACACAATGTGCAACAATGTGAATCTGGACAGTTTGAGGCTTATAGAGATAGAGAGGTCTTGCATTATTCAAACACAGTGGTCTGTTGAGAAAAAAACTAAAGCAACTGCAGGGATTTTATGCCAAATCTATACAATCTCCATCTTTAATGTGAAAACTCTCAAACACTGGACAACTTAAAAGTAGCCAACTCAATTCTAGGGGCAGGTTGCACTTAAATTACGCATGACACTGAAAGCTCAATTTCCTAATCATTTTGGGACTTATTTAAGGGGGTTTATATAATCCTTTAAAAATGTGCCTTAGTAAACGGAATTGAAGAGATTTTATGACCGTTGCTTAGTGTGATACCTGTTATTGTCTCAAAAGTTGGCCTCTAGTCAGATAGTAAAAATAATGGCAGAGGAGAAAAATAACTAATTGGTCAAAGGAGGAAACGATTACTCTTCTGGAGGAATACAATCAAATAAATCCCTACTAAAAGTAAGTAAATAACAACAAAATAAACAATGTGGGAGGAAATTGCAATGAATGACTCAGCACATCGTTGACCTGTGGACATGAAGGATCTCACCTATTACTGATGGGAAACATCCCGGAGCCATAGAGTAATCATTTTAGCAAAGTGGCTGGAAGAGCATAGCTGCATAGAGTAGTGATCCAACTCTAGACACTCAGAAAATCCTGAATTGACTGCATGTCCAATTTTAAAATAGTTTGCTCATCATTAGCCGTAAGTATTGGGCTGTCCTATTCTCGGAATTCACTAATTTCCTGTTTTTACTTTCATTCACTTGGCCATGTTGCGGTTAAAATAAGTTTTATGTCACATTTTGATTGATAAGGTCTTATGTGCGGTTTAGCTTCAAGTGCAACTAGTTTTATTTAAACTTTGATCACTTATTTGAGCAAATCTGTGCTGTTTACCAAATCAATTGGTACTCCTTAAACCCATCTCCATGACAACTGAGAAATGTCAATCCACTAATACAGACCATGCAATACAAACATCAAAAGGCTGATGAAGAGAAGCAAAAAACAATTTAGTGGATTTAGAGTGGCATAAAGTAAAGGTCACTATTTAACTCTACAATAAAAAAAAAATCACATTTGGTAAATGTTAACGTTAAATGTTAAATGTTTTAAATATCTACAAATGAAAGATTTTTTTTAATTACTTATGTTGGGTTGAGGGGAATTTTCTTCATTATCTAACATTATCTAATCTTTATTATGTTTTAGCGTAATAGATAAAGAAGGAATAGCATTCAGGAGAATTTCAGTGCCTCTCTTGACTTTGTCCTAAATGTCCTCCAGATCTGGATGAGTGGACAGGTTGCTCTTAATGACGGCTTTCACTAGTACATTATGTTGAATGCTTTGCTCTGGTCTTTAGGATTAAGAAAAGAACGGTCAGCAGTGTGTGTGTGAACTTTGATTCTTCTGACCCCCGGGCTGCCAGGGACCCGGCCTCAGAGTTCGGTTTGCTGCTGCTCCTCGTGTGTCCTCGCCCTTCTGATGTGCACCAGACTAAACACATACAGTAGCAAGACAAGCAAACGCTGCAGGGCTTTTCAAACACACCATGGATCAGAGGTCCCAACAGGACTGGTGGAACATCCATTGGAAAGAACAGCAAAGCATTGCCATTGTTTCCAAATCCATGCTCGGAATAAAGTCAATTGAGGGAAACTGAAGGTGAAATACTGACATTTTGTCAGCTTCAAAGTGACTTGTGTAAACAACCTGCCAAAGCGAATCCTGGTCTAACGCTTTCCGTGGACTTTACTTGACTGGGCCACCTCTAGGCCTCCTCGGTTTGTGTTTATGATCCAAAACTGATTCTAATGACTCATCTGTAATTAGAGTTATTTGTCTTCCGAGCAGCTGGCCAAAGCCTCATCGCCATTTCTAGTCAGTGGAACCTGCAATTAAAAAGCGCGGTGATGAGCAGCTGGGAGGATGAGGTATTTTGTACGCATACGGGTGGCTGGGTAATGACAGAGCTAACTGACAACGAGCGATGCTGCAAGAAGACGAGCAAGAGCGGCCGCACACCACAATGTCTTCTGTGGGGAAAATAGATAGTGGGGTTTTCCCAGATTTCTTTGACGTTTCAGCCCTTTGTTGTGGCGGCCATCTTGCGGGCTGGCCTTTGGGAAGGGGTCAGGGCTCCTCCTTCTTTTTGACCCGACCTCAGCGAGGGGTCGGTGTCGTTACACAGCGAAGATGACGACCGTGTCGATGCCTACGGTGAGCCAAAGGTGAGACGGGCAGTCTGTGTCATGAGCGCCGTTGTTAGAGCCACCAAGGAACCATAAAAAGGTCACATTCCCAGCTTTAAAGCCATGGGCCACTTCTGGGAGCCAGCAGAGCTCCTTTAAGCATCTGCATGATTGTAAATATTGTCCCTCATGTCTCTTGTTGACCCTTACGCTCTCAGATTTCTCGATTGCTTCAGACACGTTGAGGTGTCTCAAGCCTCTGTGATTTACAGAGATCGTGACGAGACCACAAAGCCGGGGGTTATTTACACTGTTACACTCTGAATTAAGAGTCTGACAGGAAAGCAATGGAATGCGTGTTTATTTGAGGGGAGTAAGGCGGGATTGGTTTTGTTTGCTTTTACACTGTTGTCCCAGCGTTAGTTCCACCACCAACAGGGATTCACTGCTAGTTATTTGGACACTAGCTCCGACCCTTGACCTTTCCAAATGGGTGGCTAATCCCAGTCAAAGCTACTGTGGGGCCTCTTGTTGCTATTCCTGCAATGCTGCCGACGTCTGGAACTAAAGCAGACATCTTCTGATTCTACACATCAAGGTCTATTGGCATGTTTTGGGAAGTGATACTGCATGTGAAGGAGTTGCATAAAGACTTTTGCAACTGCAGATAGAGCTTCAAGGAAGCGGATACATTTCCTTGAGTTTAATCCCGTCAGTTGAGTCTGAAGACTTATAAACATTTGAACAAATAATTAATATAAAAAAACTAAAAATAAACTTTAGTAGGTTTCTTTTTTGTAACTCTTTTAGTTTGTAAATATCCCAAACTTTACAATCAAATTAGTCTACCGTTTTCTAGACTAAACACGGGTATAAAAAACTAGAATACAATGTTACCCAAAAGTTAAAAGCGAACAATATTAAATGTCCCTTTTTTTGCGGATTGCTAGTGGAGCCTCGCAGATGGGGGTGCTGCAGCCCCCTCAGAGTGAAGACACATACTAGAGATGCTGTATGAGAAACCAATGTGAGTTTGGAACATCGAACAATCTAAATCTATTCTAGTAGACCTCAACAATGGAATTATGATCAGTAGAAATGGCCATGACATGGGACCTTTAATGTGGTGGACCCTCAGTGTGAAGATGCAAATGGTTATGACGTGCGTAGGGGTCAGTTTGGAATTGGGCCTTTGGCTCTGCTGAATCGATTTTCATCTTAATTTGCTGCCATTTCTGACACGTTTGCATCACAGTAAATAATCCTTTTTCCTGCAATCAAAGCCAGCAACCAACACTATTAACATAAAAAACAGACATTGCAGTTTTCCAAAACAATACTTTATATCGTAGATGTCAAAGACAACATGTTAGAGCATAGGTTCCCGAGAAAAATGTACTATTTCTGTAACAATGGTGGAACAAGTCAAAAACATATCTGATAAAAAAAAAGAAAAGAATATGCATTTTATACATATGTAAACCTAGAACTGTTTGTTTTAACCACAGTGGTCATAGCAATAACTGGCGTATTATTTAGTGGAATGGACAACCGTAACAATGACCAGGCACCTGGATGGAGCCCTTTGATAAAAGTCCAGATGTGACAAAGAACAAAACATGTCTTCCCAAGAGTCCACCAAAGTCACATCCGGCCTGGTTTATAATAAAAAAAAGTGTCCATTCTATCGTCGTGGTTTACAAAGCATCCCCCCAAAACAATTTGTTTTTCTACATAAATACAATAAAATCTATCGTCTGTGTTACAAGTGCTAGATACTTTTTTTTTTCTTTTGTAAAATGTTAAACAGAAGTCTTTCATGTTTCCATATCCTACGGGTAAAAGCACAACATGGAAAGCACCCAAACTCTTCCCCGGCGTAAAGAAGAAAGCAGTAAAAGAGGCGGTTTGGATACAGTGAAAGTACTAATGTCCTTCAGTGCTCGATCTCTTGTGCTGATATGCGGAATGGGACAGACAGAAAGACAGGTGGGGGGGGGGGCGCATGCGGACATTAGGATCATGCAGAGAGAAAGGAGGAATGAAGTCAGAACTCTGAGGGTTCAAACAGAAAGACATGACCCCTCCTAATAAATGGAAATGATAGCATAATGGAATGTTTTCTCTTTGTTACTGGACATTGTGTTAAGACGAGCAGTGAGGACAGACGGTGCTAGCTTTGGCGTCTTTTGAGAAACCAAAGCAGAAACTCTGTGACGGGCACTGCTGAGCAACGCTTCTGGGAATGTTCTGGGCTGGGTTACCGAAAAAAAACTGTTTACAGGAGCTGAGATGTCAGCGTGTCTAATGCAGGTGAGATTCTGGAAAGCATGACTTGCGCATTGTCATAATCCAACCACAAATATGTCTATCGGCAAAGATGTTTGACATTAACATGAGAAAAGTCATAGAAACACATCTTTCAAAAAGAAGTTTTTGGGGAGCTGACTGATTCAAAGGGATCAGACAGAAAAATCACATCCATGGAAAGGAGTTAAAACCATACTAAATAATCATAAACTGCTTGCATCCTTGCTGTACTTAGTGTTAATCCTACTTTTTGTCCATTTCCATTGTTTCCTGGTACATTTGCAAAGTAGTGGATCATACAAGCAGGAATACAACCGTCTGCACTTTGGCCTGGCCATCTGCAGAAGTCATGGAAACTAATGGAGTTGATGTGATTTAAGAGCATTACTCTGCCAATAGAGGTCATATTCAATCAGTAAATGAATGATGAACAAACTATTTGGAAGTCTGATTGCGGTTTTAGAAGATGTAAATCAGCTTATGACAATGTAAATATATATATATATATATATATATATATATATATATATATGTATGTACACATACACACGTTTCATATGTTCCTGTTTGACAAAGACATTGTTAAAAATGTAGGATTTAATTTAGGGTTCATAGCGGTGTTCCAATTTATCCACCCATATAATTTGTCTTGTTTTTTTTGTTCTCGTTAGTGGATGGATTTGCAAAGAAGGAGAAACTACTTTTTTGAGAGATGTGGAATCCAGATTGAGAATTTTGTCTCACATTTCTTAAAGTTACAGAAACTTTCAAAGGTAGCTCTACAATGGTATCTAGACACATCAAAAGCTGGAAAAGCAGGAACATGTGCCTGGATGTGAGGCTGAGCGGAGGGCAATGGCACCCTACTGTAACAGCTCTCTGGTACCGATGGGATGGATAAAGCCAAATACTAGTCATCAGTGTGACAAGACAAAAAGACAACCAGTAAAATGCTTATCAACACGTAACCAAGGACAGTCAGCGGTGCCTTCAGGTACACCCTACAAAAGGACCGTAAGTATTGTTTTTCAATACCAACTTCAAAAACAAGATCATAGTATTTCAGTATGTATAGATATAATATATAATATACTCATTTCTTTTATATATAAATCTACTATGAACAGACAGTAAATACACAATTGTCGATCATTATACAAAGTAGAAACATTTGCATCCCAACCCTCCCGCAAAAACCCAGAAAACACAGTCATGTGATGTCCGCTAAAAACAGAGTCTGGATCTTCACATGCGTGAAGTATGTCAGCTTTACAATGCAACAGAGACAGAGAGAGGGAAGGAAATAAAACATTTAAAAAAGTATAAAAGGAGTCCAATGAAAGGGCAACAAAAGTGAGAGGAAAGAGAATCAACCAAAGTAGTCATTGATAAATGTGTGTGGCAGGAATACTCAGATAGATGTCCTATGTACAGTAAACAACAGTAAACACAACAGCACTGTGTCTGTTCACTGAAAAAACACATGAAAAATGATTAGTTTGTAGATGGATACAGGAGGGAGACGGCAGTATCCCAGGGGATAAACACAAGTTGGAGGAATGGCTACAGACAGGAAGTCCACTTCTGCACACTGGGATTAGGTTACAGTGTAATTTGGGCAAAAACGGAAAACCAAATGCAGCTATCCAGCAGCAGTGATAGTCGGTATAGAACCCAATATTATTAAGCTTTAAGTATAAGGAAACTAGCCAATATTTTATTTATTTTCTTAAGTACTAAGGTGTTTGTAACGGATTTGTGATGCAGATGTGATTAAGCGTTCAGATGCAGGAGGAGGAAGATTCAGCAAAGTTGTTGGAAACCCATTATGCATGGGTTTATCCCACCAGCCGGGTCATTGGTCAAGAGAAAAGGACGATAAATAAAAAAAATAAAAAAAAAACATGTGTATCCACTCGAATATTTAAAAAAGCAGCTTGTGCTTCACTGTGTATGAACATATGTACACACCTGCCTCAGAGTACCTGACATGTGGGCAGCAGATGTTGCTTAACAAGGGACTGCAGATGTTAAACCAGCTGTGGGAGCCCATGCAGGGCTGGAACACCCCCCCTGGAAAATCCCAGGTGGTTTGGTCATTGTTACCACGGAGACACCGTTGTCTTAAAGAGAGGGATGGTTCAACAAATTGGCCCATATGAGAATAAGTCCTCAATTTCCCTCATTCATCTCAGAAACGAGAAACTGGTTATTATGTAAAAAAAGTGGTTTGACTCAACAGAGAAAGTCTATTAGGTTTACTGTTGTGTATCTACTACATACAGTATAAATAGACTTAAAGTCCTGTTGCTTTAGTGCAGCACATTGTGATTAAGATGTACCTATCCTTTCTGGCCATTGGCAGGAGACTCTAATGCAGCTCATGGCGCGTCACTTGGGTCCACATTTGCATCCCTACACCTCCCGACATTAGACTGAATCAGCTGCGATGTAGGAAAGGTGAAACAGTTGATTGATGCAACATGTATGCTGATCCACAGACAGCGTGGTTCCCTAAACATGACATTCCCCTACAACAAAACTGCATTGTCTAATACGTTTTAAGTGACACTTATTTTCCCCAGGTTTTTTTTAACGTGTTACAAATATGTTTCTTAAGAAAGTCAGCAGAAGTCTGCCTTTGGAGGAAGTATTAATGGATAGATGTGTCAAACAAACACAGAACGTTGATCCAAGAGGCCCAGAGTTCGGGTCCTCTGTGAAACCAGAGTCAAAGTGGACTTTTTTTGTTACTAACGTCCTTCACTTAGTTATCCAACTAACTTACTTTTTCAAAGCCAAACCAAGATTTTTTTTACCCAACATAACAGTTGTGTTACCTAAATTTAACCGAGTAGAAGTTTAGCTTGATTGGAACCTAAGCTTGAACGACACAAGATTGTCTGAGGAAGCCCTTCAAGCTGTTTACTCAGGTTTCTGATACATAGTCCTACTAACTTCCTCTAAGTGAACCACCTCCAACTTGTGGCGGAGAACTCCCTTCTACAATGCCATCATTCAAATGAAGGCAATAAAGGAAGGATGAATGCAAAGGGAGAGACAGTAGGCTGCAGGGAAATATAGGTAAACATGCCAAGGTCTATGTGCCAACAACATGCAGGCATCGGATGTCTTGCCAAGATAGAAAAGTTTAAGGAGTTGAGGAGAAGAGAGGTCTTTTTCCCAAACCTGTTATTTAAGGCAAAGTTCTTTCAAGAAAAAATCCACCAGGTTTGAAAAAAAAGGCACACGTCTTTCACTGTCAGTCATTTGAATCGCCGACATTTTCCATATGTTATCTTCAACCCCTCAGGGAAAACGGCAACAAATGTGAACACTTTGTCCCAATTATCCGGATATGTTAAAAGAGCAGGAATGATCCATCCGTAGAGCAGAGTCACAATCACATTAGCTCTGGTGGTTTTTCAATGAAAGTGTGACGATAAAGCACAGAAAAAACTGAACAATAGGAAAAGTAGACAACGACGTGTATGGGTCCAACTGGCATTCAAAAAGTACATCTTGTGTAGTGTTTTAAAAGCACTGGCACTCGAGGTTGTCATTGCGGGATGGCTGAGTCAATCCTCTTAAATCCAAAGACAACGCATTTATGCTGATCAGTCTGTGCACTGCTGATCAGCGAATGCATCGCTCATCTTCAGTGTTCCGTTTCCATTCAGTGCCACTTTTGTCAGCTCTGCTAGTTCTCTCCCATAAAAGGATGCCATCTTGGTGTGGCAGGGGGGAGACATAGGAGTGGCATTTCAATTGACAGGATGACGACACTGTCAAAGATAAAGACTGGTGTGAGTGGTCAAAGGCTAGGGATCTTTCTTTACATTACAGCGTCCTCTTCCATTGGTTCCTCTTCAGCCCTGGGAAAAAGATAAAATAGACAATGTTATCAAAAGATTTGCTTACAGTACCATGACTGTATATTTTAAAGGAGTGTAAATGCTATATAAAGTAATACAAAATACATTAACTACAGTGAACATAAAGATAGTTAGGGGCTATGTACAAATGTTTTTTGTTGTCAAAAGGACACTTAATGCAACACAAGTAACACTTCAAAAGTTGACAGTCATTGTTACCAACATTTATGTGTTTTCAAATCTAAAGCACACAACATTTCTCACTTTTTTCTGTCATTGTTTTACATTAAGCATTTGTCATATGATTTATTTGCTTTCCTGACAAGTTAGATAAAAAGATAATCATCACTGTAGCGCAGGGGTCGGCAACCCCCGGCACGCGTCGGCAACCCCCGGCACGCGTGCCACCATTGGCACGTGGGATCGTAACCAGTGGCACACTAGGAATAAGTGTGCAAAAATATTTAAATTGTATTTTCGGATCCTGAACGAGACCGCCGGCAGAGCACGTCTCCCCCTGCAGAAGGAAGCCATGCACGCAACGCAGCGCAGAAGGATAACTTCTAGGCCCCGCTCTCTTTAACTCCAGTCGACTTTCTGCTGCTTTCCTCCATGATGGTGAAACGATCAGGGGTGTAGCGCACTTCACTCATTGCAGTATAAGGAGCTGTACATGCCGCAGTTTTTGCGTGGCTGTGTCTTTAGTTGAAAGCCCAGTGGCGATCTGCTCATCTGTCATCGAAAATAATATGCTACACAGGGGCAGACTGGCCAACTGTGTGTTCTGGAGAATCACAGTACGTCTGGTCGTCAGCGAACCGAGCCGGTCGCCAGCGGGCCGTTGACGACCGGGCTCAGTTCGCTGACGGCCGGCACCGCCCTTTATTTATTTAAATGTGTTTAAACGGCATCATGTAAGTTGCGCTGACAGGCGACAGAGGTCCACAGCTTCCCCGCAGCGAGGCTCCCCCCGCCCTCCAGTTGACAGTCCACGAGCCCCCCCCCCTGTTGACAGTTCACGAGCCCCCCCCCCCCGTTGACAGGTAACGAGTGTCGAGCTCCACCCCCCCCCACAGTTCACGAACGTCGGCACACTAATCAGATGTTATTTTTTAAATGGCACTTCATATCAAAAAGGTTGCCGACCCCTGCTGTAACATAAGTCGTCTTGTTGCACTGTGATGTTGCCAGGCCACCAGCGGATGCTCGAGGAAAGGCACTGAACTAAATATCTATCTCACAGCAGGAAAGAGATGAGCTTATTTAAAAAAAGGTTGAATGACTCCTTCAAACTTGAACTAAGGATCACCAGTCATTGGGAACAACTTGAGATGGATAAGACCGTATACCTCTTTCCGATGTGTTTGTTGGCGACAGACAGTGAGGCCATAGCTGAGACGGTCTCTGCTTCGTCTGCATCACACCGAAGGGCTTCGCTCAGAGAGCAACCGAGTGTCGAGGCGGAGCGCAGCAGTGAGCGCCAGTATTTACCTACAAAAGACCGGAACAAGGTAAAACTCGGTTAGTACCGCTGTGCATCTTGGGCCACTTCACCACAGAGAGGCTCTTGAGGTTTTACATCGGGAATATAGTACTTATCATATGTACAGATACAGTCATCCATCTAAAACCTAAACCAAATATCATTCAATAAGGTCAAATCACAAAAATGATGATGAATGTTTTGTCTCGGTGTAACTAATCCACTCACTTTGTATTTCAAGAACTTTCTCCATAGAGTGGACAGCATTAGCATTCGGTCTCTGTTGAAGTAACTCGTCAGGAATGGGGTCCAACTGAAACAAACAGAAAATAAGATCAATCTATCAATCAATGAAAGAATCCATTAAGCACATTTTTGAGAATATTTAGGACACTGAAATGTAGCTGCTGCAGGGCGGACAACTTGGCACTGAACCTATACCCACTGGGAACATCAGCTGGGTGCATTACATTACTCAAGGCTTTTTTTTTTTAGATACATTGAATACAGCCAGATAAGGGTTTTTCTGAATGTGACTGACAGGTGTTCAGAAACGCTGCTCCAAATCACAGCAGGAGCCTCTCTTGAACTAACGTGGTTCCCTCCTGGTTTAAAGGATCACTTTTGGATGTGGACCACAGCCCGGTGTTGAATCACTTCGAGAGGTGGGGAACAAGCTGGAGCTGCTGACACAATAGAAAGAGAGCCTGCAGATGCACACCTCCTCCCACTCAGCGAGAGCTTTCCTACTCTTTGACACAAACTACAATATGTGCTTTGTACTGTCTCCCACTCTAAGGAAACATACAAGCGTGCACAGATGCATACACATGGGAACCTACTTGCTCAAACAAACACATGTATACTCATGCACACACTCAAACACACACATACACACACACCTCAGGGAGCAAGTCTCTGAATCTCTCCAAGCCACAATTCAGAGGAAACAGGGCTATTCCCAGATGTGCCTTTCCAACCCGGAATGATTCAATTTCCCCTTTGGCCGACTGCACATAGGACACTTTCTCATCCCATTTTGTCAAACGGGCCCATTCAGATCAACATTCTAAACACAGACGACAAGCACCCTTTTTTTGGTACTAAAGGCCCAACTGAGAAACATTTAGAGAGATACACGGATTGTAAGAAAAAAGGTTTTGGCAAGAGCATTGGGAGTAGGATGCCAGAGAGAAAAGAAAAAAGTCATCGTCGGTCGGTCTCGCTTAGCAAAGGCTGGAAGTTTCCTTAAATTAAAACAAATAGTGTGTGGGAGGGGTCAGCGGGGGCCAAGGGAAGAGGGATACTTTAATCCTGCTGTGGCACGACAGGCTACATAAGGCACACAGGAACGTACAGAGGTGCGTGCACACAGACATATATTTACATTGGGTTATTTGCTCTTTGGCAACAGAGGCACAAATCTCCATCAAGTGTCATAATTGCTAGAAGGACATGTTGCATGTAGGTGCATATTTAGTTTTGTGACTGTACATCAAACTCTCTAAGCTCAATAGTTTATCCTTGCAACTATCACTTAAACTAAACTTTTTTTCTACACATTGCTAGAGTTTTAAGCTGCTCTCAAATGCTGTTTGTTAACAGTAAATATGGTACGTTAGCCCCGACAAAGGGCCTTCTGGCTATAGCATATGGGATTATGAGAAGTCAGACATATTTGTATATGCTATTAAGAACAATAAAGTTGGAAAGACACCTGCCTGGTAGCCATTTGTCTATTTGATTGGTTTTAAGCATTCTGTTGGATGATCCACTCTCTCTCTATAAAGAACTGGAAGCGCACAGAGAATTGTCCAATTAGACTTTTCAGTGTTAGTCTGTGTGCGGCATGACAAAAGCAAAGAGGCTCCGGGCAATAAAAGGCAAGGTCCAGCAAGAGTTGTCAGAAGATGTTGACCAAGTAAATATTTGCAAGCACACACTGCTGATGAATGACCTTCTCAAGTGGATGATATAGTTCTAGTGTTTACTAACTAGGCCATTGGAAAGAATCACCCCCACACCAAGGCAACCACTTGAGTTTTTTTGGTCTGAGTGCGAAGAGCAACACTCAAGTACAAGTGGGAGCTGCCCAGAGCTGTCAGCTATGGAGATCATCTTCTAGAAACCGAAGAGGTTCAGCCAGTCCGGATTACTTCGATTGTGGCCCAGGGGGGAGAGAGCAGTACTTCTTCATCACTAGCATCCCGCAATCTCCCTGCCACTCTGGGGACCCAAACCATCAATCTTTCTGTCGAAAACTTCAACCTTCAGGCAAAAGCCGCCAACTTCCCTCCATAACCTTAGCCACTCCCAGATCAGCCCTGCCCAGCCCATACTATCCCAGCTCCCTGTCAAAGCAGGGTCAGGGGTTCTCTGGGGTTTTGTGGGGTTCACTTCAGAGCAAGGTTGGAGGGGCACAGCCTGTCAGCTTGATTGACAGCTGGGCCTCACGCTTATAAACTTTAATGGCTCTTGTCAGGGTACTCCAGGGGCCTCCACCTGGCAGGTATGACAACACACATTTGCACATAAACGCACAAGCACACATTTGTCTGCCACATCATCCATAGCGACATTTCTGTTTATTTGGGTTTGTGGTCATGGCTCTGCCTGGACTCCTGCATCTTCATTTAATCAGATGTGCTGCAGGCTTTCACAGAGAGGTTCCTTTGAAGGGAAAATTCACCACCTTTTATGTGGCTTTCCAATCAGTGTTGATGGTAAATGTAGTCGATTGAAGCAATACATTCATCAGTTCGTGCTATATTAACAGAGAAAGCTGAGTTCTCCTGAGTTGTGCTTGCAGTGCATACGTATACCAGGATGCATTGCACGCAAGCTACTGACACCCAGCTTAAAGTTATACTTAAGACGGTAATAAAGAACGTGTAGTTCAAACCCAGTATTAACCAAAAGGGGAACAGCTTTACCTCTTCACCTTACTCAACAATTCAGCTTACATTTGCAATAATTGACAATAAAACTCACTTTATGCTCAGATAAAAACAAGCTAAGTTACCAGCCCTAGTCCTCAAATGACAGCGCTGAATGCAGAAAAAATAATATATTTTGCCATTTCTAAATAGCACCCGCTGAGGAATTGATTTACTTCATTCGACTACAGTTATCATCAACACTGATTGGACATCCAAATGTGGTACATTTCCTCTTTTGAGGATGGTTTGCGGTCGCTGTGTTGATGGATTTTTCTCAGTTCTCTGTGTGACAGAGCCGTCCAACGCACATGGTCTTAGCCAACACGGAAAGCCATGAGCCAAGAGTGAGGAATGTACCCCGGTAAAAACATTCCACAGGGAGGCCAGAACCAAAACAGTTGGAAGAGGAGGAAATCCACTTGTTTAGCAAAATGAGAGGTGCACAAGGCTTCCATTGTTTACTGTTGTGTCCATGTGCATATGTTGGCAGTCACTAAAACCGGTTGATTATGTTATGCTAACTGAACAAGGTAATGATGTGTTTTGTGTGCATTCGAAAAGGGGTGTACGTTTGCCTTGTAGTCAGGGGGGCTTGGTGAAGAATAGTCAGGCCCTGAGGGGGACAGGTGAAGTCGAGCGTCTTACTGTAACTGGAGTGTAAACACACCGAGTAACCTCATTGACAGCTGGTACCAATTAGCATATTAGCCTGTTGTTTATCAAATAATTGCTAACAACCGTGGTTCGAACCGGGCCAACATCTGTTTGCGAGCAATCATCAATTAGTCCTGAGTTCAGAGTTGACTGGTGTAGCTTCCAATGCATCATTCATGAGCTATTTAACTAAAAAGACTTCACGATTACGCACTACAGAGATGGGGGTGAATAAAAGAGCTTGTAAAGTCCATTCAGCAATTTTCATCCCTCTCTTTCCCAGCTAATTTGAGCTGCTTTCAAAGGAAACCTAATGCTCATTATAGCAAAGCATGTCTTAACCTGCCAATAAAAGCACAGATATATTTCTCACACCAGCAAGCAGTAAAACACTGGAAGTAAAAGCTACACAGGAGGTGAAGAGGGTATAAGGAACACCTTTAGGATGTTTTGGCACTAGTTTATGAAGGCTCCTAAAATCTGCCTTTTTAGAATGCCACGAAACCAATCCAGTATGTTTGTTTTACGAACCATTCATATTGCCATTCGTCCAAACTGGTAGAAAAACAGCAAGACCTACTGGCATGTGCCTTATATCTTTTCGTATTTCATGCTACAGTGATGACTTCCAGACAATACAAATCCCTCAGGCAGTTTGAAACTTTATAAACAAAAGCACAGCTGAGCAGCTAATCCAGCTGTGGTCCCATGCCTCAGCCTACTCATTCGCTCCATTCAGTGAGCCAACACACACGCAAAAAACTAAAATATATCCTCTAGAAATAACTGCATCAGTGGACACATTCAAACAAGTCCAACATTCATTGGCCACCTGAATGCAATGCAAAACAACGATTGTTGTTGCTCAATCTGGTTGGTGAGGCATTGCGCTGTTTCCTATTCTGTTTCCATTTGCCATCTTAGGCCATTTGTCAGCAAATAAAAAAACACAGAAAATGGTCAGTTGTTTTATCTCCCTCCAGCTCAGTCCCTCACTGACGTTTTCCAGCTACATTCCTAGTCCATTACAGAGACCTTCGCTGAGATTGTGATAAAAACATTTGCTTCCTGCCATTTTGATCTGATCAGGGACATTTTAGCCTCTCTTTCTTTTGCTATCAGTTATCAAAGCTCAAACAAGTAAATGATCTGCCTTTGTTCAACCAGCTGAAATCACTTGCTGCCAAAAAGTCAAACGGAGCATGTCATGAGAACTCCATGTCTGTGGTTCAAGTCGACAACATCTACATTTGTGTTGTTCATCACTTTATCAAAGCCATCTTTAGCTAATGAGGCATGCTGTACAACTCTTACTTAAAGGCTTCTGTCATGATACCTTTCAATGTTTCCATTCCAGAAACCGGGAAACAATCACTTTCCCAGAATCTGAAACATCCTAGTATGGCACTTGAAAACTGTGGTTGTTGAAGTTTACTGGAGTATAGGGTGGGTGTTCAATGTAAAGAATGATGTATTCTAAGAATTGTAGTTCTGAAAATCCTAAAAAGGATTGTATTCCATACCTTTACACACTTTCACAACTTGCACATGTGCTGCTCTCAGTGCAGCTGCTTTATTACAATAGGTTCATCCCTTCCTTCTTCAAATGAGCCCTCCATCTCATTTTATTATCTGATCCCTAGGCCCAGGCTGACCCTGCTCGAAGAGGTGTGAGGGTAACCATTTTCAGATTGTGTACCAGTCAGGGGGCCGCGGGTGAGAGTTTGAGAGGGGTGTCCTGCAGAGCGGAGGCAATTGACAATCCCTGCCTCCTGCCTATTTTCGAATTTTCGGCTCCCTATGGCACCCATCGAGTGACCTCCTACCAAACCCCTGCAGAGGCCGGCGCTCTGCAGGGGTTTGAAACCCAAGAAGCAAACCCCCTGATCCACTTCATTATTTCTGCAGCAGGGCTGTGCTGTGAGTAACGAGAGAGCGTCCTTCCAACTGGAAGTCCTGAGCACAAACCTCCGTGACAGCTAAAAGCATCCGCCCTGCCCGAGTGTCCTTGAATTCCTGAATCCTTACCAGCTGTAATGGCAATGTAACTCTGAATAACTTTGAGTCATCAGTGGGCAGGTAAACAGAGTTAAGTTATTAGATTAAGCCTCAAGTTCATGCATTTCCTCTCTTATGCAAAACTTTGCTTGAGCAGAGCTGTTTGTTTTCTTTCACAGGTTTGGCACGTCATAGTGCTTTTTCTCTGTCCAGTGTCACTTGGATCATCTGTCTGATCAATTTCTTCATCTTGCACAACACGATGGACTGGTTGGTCTCAGTCACTGAGTTTTATTAATGTGATCCTCTTTATTGTTCTGTTTGTTTTGCACTCACTCCAAGATCCACATGGAACAAGGTCATGTCATTTTTTCTTGTCTTTTAACGATTCCAAGAACCCATTTATAGCTCTAGCTGTCTGCAGGACTGGAACAAGAGTTCTAGGAAGTCACAGATACCACCTTCAACAAGGCAGAAACTGATTCAGAGATAAACACATCCAGTTGCTAACTTTTCTTTCACACAAGCTTGATATGTTTGGAAGTCGGACATTTTTCATTGGATAGATCAAACTGACCACAACAACTATTCTTTCTGTGCAATGGAAGGGCGAATGCTTTCTGAATTTTTTAAGTGTAAACTTAATAAGCGCTAATGTTAGGCAATATTGAAACAAAGACAATAGCAAGACTATCAATCTTTAACCATACCGCAAAACTGTATTTTACGTTTCTACATCGATTCATCATTACAGCTTATTATGATGAGCCAACAACAAGTCCCACTTTATGCTCTGTAAAGTGTTGTATGAACATAATGAGAAGCGTATACCCTTATGCATTAGTATAACTGTCCTGCATGTCTCACTGGGCATATGCTGATGGCTTTAGCAGGTACACCTGCCATTCCAATGCAACCAGCACACAGGGTGGTTGTGGCAGGCCGTTTCCCGGGACAACATTTTTACAGTTTTTTTTAAATAAATGAAAATAATGCAATCGTGTCTTTCTGGATATTATTCAATCTTGATTTGAGGTGATTATTTGGAATTCTTGGTGTCAACTTGGTTATGATTGCTTTAATGGTTGAGCTACATATGGGGAAATATAGATCACCATTTGTTCTCATATAGATCACCATTTGTTCTCTTTACTTTATTATTATTGCTCTAAGGCAGGGGTGTCAAACTCAAATACACAGTGGGCCAGAATTAAAAAATGGGTACTAGTCGAGGGCCGGACTGGTTCAATGTTTATTGCAAAACCTATTGAAATGAACTTATTGCACATATTGAACCTGGAACTAACAAAGCTTAAATGATTGCCTATAAAAACAACATTAAACATTAAATAATCAGTTGCATTCATTTCTTATGGCTCTATCTGCAGCTTTTGCGGAGTCATTTCTTATGATTACATTTTTCCACAGGCCAACAACAGCTTCAACAAAAATATTTCCCTCAAAGAAAAAAACAAACATTCCCTGTTGTCTCAAGAAAACAAGTGCAAAAGGAAACATCCATGTAAACTCAGTGTGCTGCTCTGTGATGCTAGTTCAAGCCAGATACTAGGCATCTCATCTTGGGTGCAAGTTCATCAATGTTTGGGGTCAGGCTCTGAGCTGAGGAAATCCTCAGGATTGAGTGAAGGTGTGCGTGCAATATACCGGCGGGCCAGATCTAATAGTAATTAGAAATTATCCTGCGGGCCGAAATTAAATCCACCACGTGCCGGATTTGGCCCGCGGGCCTTGAGTTTGACATGTGTGCTCTAAGGTGTAATTTTAAAAAATGGTCTTTGAACATATCTGGGAATGTTGCATCCACATTTAGCATTTAAAGGGGACCTATCATGCAAAATGCACTTTTGTACGTCTTTTATACATGAATATGTGTCCCCGGTGTTCCAGGGAACTCACCAAGTGTCAGAAAACACAACCCTCTCTCTTTTCCTCCATACCCAAAATCTCTAAAAACGGGGCTGCAACGGATCTGATAAAAACTGATCCAGATTTGAAAAGTCAGTGACGAGGAGCTCTGCCTATATGGCCAACTCTCCACCAATCAGGGGAATGAGAGGTTGCCGTGGCATGATAACAGCATGGTAACATGACGCTCGCAACTCGGCCCCCTCCTTTGCAGGGGGGCGTGGTCAGCTGCAGTGCATGCAAAGACAGGGTGGAGGAGAGCAAAATAGAGCAAAATGAGGCATGGCTAAAATGCATGATCTGTTTGGTATTTTGAAAAAGAAAACGTATAAATATAGCTTATATAGGTATGGCCCTACAATATATCATTTAAATATAGCATGATAGGTCTCCTTTAAATTAATTTGATAGACCCTAGCGACATGTGATGACTTTTTAAAGACAAAACGTGTAATCACAGCAAACTCACTGAGGATGCATAGAGTTCCAAGCCCTCAAGCCACAGCATCTATCCCACAACAGTTTCAGACACACTCAATAAAAATAACTTGGCAAGGTTAGAAAAAGCGAGGCGAGGTACAAAACAACTTTCTCACTCTTATCTGGCTGTACGCCACAAAATAAAAGTGCATTTTTTTGTCCAGTTTTAGTGTTAAGAGATCAAATGGTTTGTGGTCAAAATAGCAACAGATTACGAGTGGACTTTGGAGACACAAGTATGCACAAATCATTCTCACAAACTCTTCTATTGCCCTTAAGCTTCATAATCTTCATACGGTACCACAATTCAGTAGTCCTGAAAATATAAGCACTGAGATATCTTGGACCCATGATAATGGAGGGAGAAAAAGAGTCTGAGCAGCCTGTCCAAAAAAGCACTCCAGCCTCTTCATTAGCTGGAAGAAAAGAGTGGGCGTTTTTGAGGAGATGCTATTCTGTTTAGCGCCATGAATCACAGAGCGCCGATGTTTGTTCTGTTCCATGGCCCAACCGACACACTCCCACAATTAACCTTCTGCCTGGAAATCCTTTCCCTCTGACGTGTTTGTGCGTGTGTCTGTCTTTGTGTAGCGTGTGTGTGTGTGTGTGTGTGTTGCGCTGACTTCCTCTCTGAGTGGAAGAGATGGTTTTGGCCCATGTAAAAGAGTACTGTTTTCTGAGATATCTAGGTAACAAGTCCATCAAATCCTTATCCTGAACCCTTAATGTGTTTGGCGGTTTAAGACATTTTCGTTGCCATCTTCTCTTAAGTGTTCATTCAGTTCTAGCGTAAGAATGAATGTGAAACATTTTAATTAGAATTGTATGCTCACTCAATGACTTGCTTCTGGAAATGTAGCCGGGAATAAAAATTAGAAGCAAGTTGAGTGACCTAAACATTTCACGCTGACAAGACAAATAAACCAGATGCTCTTCATCTGCTTGAAGCCCTGCATGTACACTTCAAAGCAATCAAACATAAAACTACACTGATGTGGCTGTTAATATTGCTTATTGATTCATTCATTTGAACTGACTTTTAAAACCACAAAGTTTCCTTGCATATCTTATAGCAGTAATTGTACAATCTAAATCATTTACAGTTTCAGGGAATTACCCACATTACAAAAGTAATATGCCTTTTTACGCAGCAGGGATTAACCAGGCCCTACATGTTTATGTTTGGAGTACTCACATCATAAACTTCAGTCCATATTTGATCTCATATGTATGTATTTGTTGAGTCTTAGTGCCTTGCTTTGGGTTATTTTGATAGAAATCTATCTCTCCTCCTCTCGGCTCTCATCTTACCTCATTGCCAAGCAGGGCAGAGACGCAGGCTTCGGAGGCATCACATATGGCTGTGAGGTCGTGACCCCCCTCCAGGGCAAGCACCAAGCGACCGCCTGCCAGAGCCATCAGCTGCCTGGTCAGGTAGCCGAAGCCTGGATGCACAGGAAATGACAGCAAATAGAGGGCAAGGAAAGAAAGGGAGGGAGAAAAAAAAGAATGAATACTGCTGTTCAAGCTCTAACTTCCTTTTTGGATATTGATCAAAGAAAAAAAGAGAAATAGGAGGCTTGAGAAAAGGAGTGACTGCATCAGAGAGAGGAAGAGAGTGAACGATGGATTTACTTGGGGCCAAAACACAAACTATAATATGAGCCAGGTTTAATTTTAATAAACGCGGCTTTGCATTTAGGCTTGGTCACAGTCTTTGATCTTTTTTCTTTCAGGAGGGGGGGAGCTTTGATATATGCATTGGGACATACTTTTTTCTCCCCTAAATTCTCCCCTTTTCCTGCAATCCTCTCTAACCACCCATATCACCCCCTTAACTACCAAGACCCCTGCTCTTATTTGAGATTTTAGACAAGCTCTTTGCTTGCATGCCAAGGTCTCAATCTGAAAGTCAGAAGGAACAAATAAACACAGGGGCTTGTGTTTGTGCGTCTGTCAGTCGTTCCTGTTAAATTGCACAGGCAAAGTGATATTAACAACATGTGTGAGACTCATGCATCAAAATTTGTATGCAAGTTATTTTAGCAAATGTGTATGTATGGCTTAGTAAACAGAGAATGATTAACAGGGTAACTGTGGTGAGCACTTACATTTGGCTGTGAGTTTGTATCCTCCCAGGGGTGGAGCGTGTCCGTCGACCGCATCAAAGCCTGAAGATACCAGAACCACGTCTGGGGCAAACTCGTTGGCAATCGGCATAACCACCGTCCTAGAGAAAAACAATGTCAACAAAATAATATATTTATAGCCGAGATTGTATAAGAGAGGTCGTATAAGCCAGGGGTTTTCAAAGTGTGGGAAGGTGAGCCTCCCCTCAGAGAACATAACACATCTTCTTTAAGGAAGATTGCTGATAGTCTTGATTTAGAAGGATGTGACTATTAAAAAGTCTTGCTGCATTTCATTAACAGATATTGTTGCAGCTGCAACTTATTTTTAATAGGCTGGCTGAATGACAAATTAACTGGGCTACATGTAGCCAAACATGAACTGATCCAAAATGTGTTGTTTAGCTTGGAATTTTAACTGCACATTTTTTTTGGAATCAAAAACTTAATAGCAGTTGTTAAGCTGCATATATGAAAATTGCTCCCAAACCCGCTCACAAGAGTTATCAAAACAACAAAGCCTATAGAGCCAAGATAAAAAATGGTGCAAGTTTAACAACCTGTCAGTCAGAGCTGAACATACAGAGAAAATCAAGGGATACAAGAAGTGAAGAGGGCAATGTCTATGGTCCTTGCCTCTTTTAGCATCACTAAGTGAAATTACCTTTAAAAGAAATGTCATCAATTTACCCTTAAACATATATTTTACTTTATATTTTATTACTATATATTTGATAATGACAACAGTCTTTCGTAAGTTTGAGGAAACAATATAGTACAAAATATTTAAGTAAAGAGGAGAAATTGAAGGATGGATTTAATTGCATGTGTGTGTATGTTAAGTGTGCACAATCATTCTGATCCTGGATAGGTGTGGTCAAAGAGTGCCATTTGTGTATAACCTTCCTATAACACACAGCTGGTAGGACATACACATAAATCCACTGAACAGTATGACTGTGTTGTGATTCACTGTAAATTGTGGTTAGAAAACAAAGTCTGGTTTATGACCCTGTTGGAAAAAACAACCATCATATGATATTTGTGTTCTACACAAGATTATAAAACGGACAAGTAAAATCAAGCAATCTGATTGGTTCTTAGCCGTGGTATACTGAGCGTATACCACGGGTAGAATTGTAAGTTACTTTTCACAACAACTCAGTATCCCTCCGCGTCTGAGAAAAACAGTATACAGTTGGGCTGAAAAGCAAACTGCTTGCAGTTTGCTTTTCAAACTGGAACAAGAAAGCAGCGGAGAAGTAACGGGGCAGAAACCCTCCTTTTTACGCAACGGTCCAGACATAGACATCAAACGGCAAAAACATATTCAGTGTGCAGTTCCTTTGGCATTAGGGCAGGGATATTTAGATACTTTCCAAGGTTTGACATAATGAATTGTGCTACTTTTAAAGCAAGCAACGATGTTTTCAAATCTGTAATCAAAAAGGTCCGCAAAAACATTTAAGATTAACTTCGACCTCCGGGGGGGGGGGTCTTACTATGGAGGAGTGGATTGAGGAGTGCCTATCTCCAGAACAAAAAGCACCTAAACGACGACATGTAGAGCTACGTGAAGAGCAGGTCGACAAACTGGAAAAGTATCACCATTCAAAAGCTTTCTGATGCGGGTCTTGAAACAAAGCAGAGAAATTATGACCGTTAGTGGCCACAGGTGCGAAAGCTCTCTCCAGAGCTACTGGAAGCCGAATCTCGGGGACCGGAGAAAGTGGAGCAATATTCTCGCCACGCAAAGCAACAGCCTAGAACAACCTCAGCCTATACAAGTAACCACGTTAGCCATGCTACTGATGCTGGACAGTTTTTCAGTGGGTGCACAATAAACGGCAACATACACATTAATGTAAATAAATAGCCAAATAATGGATCAACGCTCTCTGTCTAATATGTTCGCTAGCTGTTGTTAGTGTTGTTGCATAGCAACCACCTCGCACTATGTTTCGTGCAGAAGGCAACAGAGGGACTATTTTATTTTGAACATCATTATTTACTAATAAAAACTATTTAAATTAGAGTGTGTATTTTTCTTTCATATTGCCACACTTGGTAACCGTTTTATAAAAGCAATAGCTCACTTCAGGCCGTGGTATATGCTCATTATATCACAGCTAAGGGGGTTGTCGACCCTCCGCTTCGCGTCGGGCCAAACCACGCCCCTTAGCTGTGATATAATGAGCATATACCACGGCCTGTCGTGAGCTATTGCTTAATTAGATCACATCACATGAAATTAGACTAGCTTGACAGAACTTTCATAAAACAGTTTTAGGAGGTAGACATGACTTTTTTTTATTTTTAATGAAAGACATTAATCCAATTCTAGAAAAGGAAATATATGTATTTAAGAAAAATATATAATGACTCATGAGTAAATAGTTATAGACTTCCCAAATTGCAAAACCAGTGGTTTGCTCTGATTTGCTCAGAGGCTACACATTATTTTCCGGGGGTCTGGGATATTTGGGCGAGCAGTGTTTTGCTGAGGTCGGCGAGTGACGGAGTACCACAGGGTTCCGTCGTAGGTCCTCTGTACTTTGCCGACCTCAGGAACATGGTGATGGTTTGCCGGCTGTGGGCAAGCAGCGTGCCCTGAACTCCGGAGGCCACCGTTTTTTCCAGCCCTTTTCTACCACCAAATTATAACCCTCAACTGCACAGACCACACCCCCCGCCACAACACAACACCCATGCGTACACACAGCTGTCTGAGGGAGAGGCGGGAGGTAGTATTAGGAGCTTTTTGGTAGTCCCAGACAGAAAAGGATACACTGTGTGCGTGCGTCACTCTGTGTTAGCATGCATCTGGCAATATTTCAGAGAAAAACATCATGTAAGAAGATGAAGGAATAGGAAGGAGGAAAAACAAAGTTGAGTAACAGAGTTAAAACTACAGTATATGGAAATATAAAATAAAATAGAAACCTAGGGGGAGGAATTAAAATGAAAACATGGAATCATTCAGATTTAGTAAGTTCATGAATGAGTGGATGAAAGATTTAAAATGATACATTAACATGATTTGTTATTCCATCAGTTCAAGAGCTTTAAAAGGGAGTCAACAACACACGCTACAAAATTAAGTGAAATTAACGATCAGACTTTTTAGCTCTAGTTTCAGATTTTATCACATGTGTTGAAGGTTTCCCTCCTCTTTCTCCCTTACTCAATAACTTACATTCACACACATCCTTGGCCATTAACATTTGGTCCATAAAAGACCCCACACTAAAGGGAGTTGGCCACAGGCGTGCATCTGGGCTGACACACGGCGCATTGGGGAAACCTTGACCGCCAAGGATACTTTAACAACTGAGGTCCTCCCCTAACCCCCCTCTTTAAACTTGAACACAAACAGAGACAACTTTGGCCACGATGAGGAATCCTGCTGGTGTCATCAGTTATAGCCCCATCCCTTGGAATAACATCCTAACATTTAAGGAAATAAAAACCCACAGTAATCAATTAGCAGGCTGGCAGGAAGGGAAACTCGTGGTTTTAGTGAAGACTAAGTGTGTGAATCAGAGGGTATGTATGTGGAGATGAAAAAGCCTCTCTGTTAATTAAGGGAGGGGAGAGTTTACGAGTGAGCAAAGCTACGGGGCACCGTGAGTGAAGAGGTTGCAATCTAAACCAATGCTGGCTCTCACACCTAGATCTTTCCGTGAGTGGAATTACTTTGGAAAGCATGGATTGTAAACTTTTTGTTTAGTATTGTTTGGTTTACTTAGCAACAGGTGCATGTATCAGTATCAGCTGAGGAGTCGCAGTCATGAAGCAGTTTAAAATCGTGAAAATCCTTAAAGCAGGGCCCGAAAAACACTTGGGTCCTATAATTTTCAGCTTCCCAAGCATGACATCATCAGGCTCATCTTCTTAGACTTTAAAGCATCTGCCAAATTACTTTAAAATTATATTTAGACTGTAATGACAGACAATAATTAGGATGAGTTTCATCGAAACTAAATCTGTGTCACAAGTGCATAGACATAAAAAGTAATTCTAACCACCAAAAAGGCACTGTTGCTGTTCTGGAAATCAACTAATCCTAAATGTGCTTCTGCTTGGCCCATTGCAATAATGTTTATTTCTAAAACTAGAAAACATTTAATTTAAAATGTCTGTTATACCACTCTACTTGAAATAGGAACCTTTCTTGTCCTAGTTCTAGAGCCTTGGATAACACGGGAAAGCATTTGATTGTAGTTGGGGATTTGTTTATTGATAACCTTATAGGATAGCTATTGCATTGTAACTGAGTGTATTCTGAAACATCTAAGGTTTAATGAAATGTATATGTGGGCTTGTGACCTGAAAGAATTTAAGGCTGAACAAATATGCATGTTTACTTGTGTATTGTTGTTCATGTTCATATTAGTATTTTGTGCCTCTCCTGTGACATGTTTCAATGCTTTAATGTTCAAAAAGCTCTTTATTTTCTCATACTGCCTGTGCTGCAGCACCTCTTTTCACCCTCTGTCTGAAACCAGAGCCCAGTGTGCTCTGATTGGTTAGCTGGCCGGCAATGTTGTGATTGGTCAACTGCTTAGAGATCTCCCGCCCCTTAGTCTATCACGTACAATATGTTGCAGTGCTAGCCAATAGGAGCGCAAGTGTTTCATAGTGATGTCAATATGTTACGGAGATAAACAAAGGAGTCCAATGGAGGCATCTCAGGAAGGAGGGTAGTGTCTGGGAAAGAAACTCCCTCAGGAGGGAACTTTGGGATTTTAGCCTTTTCAGACTATGTTTTGTTTGTAGCCTTTATTTAACCAGGTTAAAAAAATCCCATTGAGATCAACGATCTCTTTTTCAAGGGAGACCTGCGGTACATTGGTTACACATAAAAACAACAGAAAACAAAAAGGACATCACAACATAATTACAGGAGTATAAATTAGCAACCTATTCACAGTGACAGGTATCTAATAACATTTCATCCAGCCGTGCTTTAAAATGATGCAAGGGAATCAAAATGCTCAGTTTCAATGTTTTTTGCATAGTGTTCCAAGCTAGATGTACATGCACACAACCTATATAACACACTACAGGAAAGGGAAAACACCAAAAAGCCATAACAGTAGCTGCCAAAGTGTGTTTGTAATGGTAGGTGAGCAGAATCTTGTCGATAAACTGAACAAAAAAGGGTAATGTGATGCATTAGGAAAAAAAAGACTGAACTATTCCCTCTGTACAAATATACAATCTCCCTTTGCCGATCAAGCCTTCCTAAAATTGGACTGTATTCATTAGTCTATTAAATTCACAAGGCTATAACCCAGTAAGTGCCTTTTTTATTCAATTTTTTCTTCTCAAAATTACTGCTTTTCTGATCCTGATGGGCGCATTTAGCTTTTGGCAATTTTCATCCAACAGGATTTCAAGTGCACACAAATATGCTCACACCGGTTATTACTGCAGTAGCTCTTGGCATGGTGGTAACATTTTGAGCCAAGGAAAACTTCCTTTTTAAAGACTATCATCTTTGTGTGATTACTCTAGTCCCTAATTTATCTTTTTTCCACATCTTGATTATGCCTTCATATCCAATGCTCTCCAGGTTTCTAACATGGGGAGCAAAGGGCTGAAATGTGGCATTGGTGGTGGACCGCAAGCTGCAGATAAGCATTTCATATTTCTAAACAGATGTAAGATAAGTATTAATTTCTTTAGGGTTGTATGTTAATATATACAATAAAATCAATTATTTATTTAATATTCTAACTAACTCATATGTTATCACTTCAAGAAGTTAAATGTGCCTTATAATGCTCATTTTCAGCTTCTTATGTGTATGTTGTGTCTCTACTGTGACATGTCTCCATGCTTTAATGCTCAAAAAGCTCTTTATTGTTCTCATTCTGCCTGTGCTGCAGCACCTCTTTTCACCCTCTGGCCGTTTCTCAATGGCGAGTAAAGCTGCTTCAGAGCCACTATTTCAAGCATACTACGTCATCGAGTGCCGCCGAAGTACTGTTCCAATCGCCAGCATACTTGGAAATCTACCGAGCCCGGCGTACTCCGTTTGGAGAAATATCGAGGCTGCACATGAGTAGACTCCGCGGTCTTAAAATCCCCACAATGCTTTGCGCACAGACCAATTTCCCCAAATCTGTGGCGGAAGATGTAAGGCGGGGCCTCTCATATGACGCACACCTGCACACTTGCTCGCCTGTTCCACTCTTTGTTTTCCAAATGCCAGGTAGTATTCTTGACTCACTTCTGAAGCAAGATGCTCGGCAGACATGTGCTACCAAGCAAGCGTACTCGCGATTGAGAAACACCCCGTGTCTGAAACCAGAGCCCAGTCTGCTCTGATTGGTTAGCTGGCCGGCTCTGTTGTGATTGGTCAAACACTAAGAGATGTCCCGCCTTTTAGCATATCATGCAAAATGTTTTGGAGTGCTAGCCAAAAGAAGCACGAGTAATATGGAGGCGTTTCAGGCGGGCGGAAGGGACACAGGGATTTAAGCCTTTGCAAACCATTGATATGCACTAAACCTATATAACAAACTACAGAACAGGGAAAGCACCAAAAAGCATAATAGGGCCCCTTAAACAAAGTGTAATCACATCTTATGTTGAGTTTCTGTTGTGCAAAGGCATAACAGCAAGTGTTTGGAGAAATAAAACCTCAGTTAGGAGAACCCTTTTTCGAAAATAAAATCTACACTATGTTCTTTAAAAGCAGCATCAAACCGGTCAACAAAAGGTTAATCTGCGAACTTCAAGGCTTTCCTCTCCGTTCATAAAAAAAAGAAAAGTTGAGGAGAGCCGTAGAGGAGAGAGAGAATAAGAGTGAAAAACTCACACACGCACACTTACACTTCAAAGCCCTGTCATCTGGCTCTGCGGAGAGCTGGTTTGAATTAAGTTTAATTCTCCTCCTCTCTCGTCTTTCCAAGTTCATGGCAAAGTAGGGAGTGAGGGGAGGAGGATGAGGAGAGAGAGAGAGAGAGAGAGAGAGAGAGAAGAGAAGAGAGAGAGCTAGAGAGAGCGCTAGCTCGCTAGCTCCTCTCTATCTCTCTCTCTCCTCTCTCATCTCTCTCCTCTCTCTCTCCTCCTCTCTCTTCTCTCTCTCTCTCTCTCTCTCTCGCTTCTCTCTCTCGTCTCTACGCTTACTCCTAGAGAGAGCGGGGCTTCTGGTTTTCATTAGGGCCAATTTTCTTATCTTTTTTCTCTGTGCTTTCTGGAGGCTCAGAATTGATCCCCTGCAAATGCAACGTGGCACAGGCCAGTGGAGGAATGGGAAGGTGCTGGCTGCGAGGGACGCATCCCGTTCCATATACTGGGAGAGAGGAAGAAGAGGACCGCAACACACAGATAAACAATGAGATTCAAAGAGAACGAGAGGCTGTGTGCATCAGGTGTCGTTCCACATGTTGTTGTAAACGCGTTGATGTGAAAGCTGCATGTGGGAGCATTTGTGCATCTGTGTTCATTCAATCATGAAAACCAGGATTCTCTGCATTTTGATGAGCTCGTGCTTTACGTGTGTGTGTGCGTGTGCGTGTGCGTGTGCGTGTGCGTGTGTGTGTGTGTGTGTGTGTGTGTGGTAGATATATGAGCTGTGAGACAGGTTTGCTGCTGTCCTCTGGGGCATATGAATTGTCCTATACTTCTACAGCCTCGGGGGATTAATGGCACCAGGGTCCAAGGTGAAACACACCCAAAACTGGAGTTCTCTTTTACTTTATATCTTTGGACTGCTTCCATTATTTTCATTTAATAGCCTACAATTACATTAACAAAACACACAAACACAGTTAAAGCCTCTCCACATGCATGCAGCCATGACCAAACATACTAAAACTACTGTGTGAAAAAGGGTTTTGAATTTGATGTTAACAAAGTGGGCTGGTTTAACTGAAGTGCACTGCATACCTTAATAAGAATATATCAGCTCAAATACAGATGAAACATCTCCAACATAATGTGTTTGCAAGACTTAAAAGGGGCGCTCCAATTTTAAACATGACATTCAAAGTCATCATCACAAGGAGTAAAACGCAGCCAGTGAAAAAGGTTTTACAATCTCTTCTGTGGCTTTGGCTTTCCAAAGTTTGAAAAAGAAGAACCCTGAAGATGTCATCAGCGTTATCTAATCTGGGGCTCGACACTTAAGTGTTTAAAGCTTCAATTACAAAAAAGAGGTGTGGTATTTAAAAAAAAGTGGTTATTTAGGAATAATTTAGTTTGAGTATAATTGCAGGAACCTGTTTTTCCTTTTGTTTGCTCCACATGGGAACTAACAATCTGAATACTTATTGCATTTTAACTAAATGGCTAGAGTTCAACACTTTAAAGAGCAATAATAAACAAGTTATTATCAACAAGCACACAGGTTAGTAATGAACACGTATAAACTGCAAATCTAGAAGAAACCGACATGCCCATTATAATCGAGCAGTTACTATTGTTATTAAACTAAAAAAAGGACAGAATAGATTGTTAATAAATAAAGCATAGTCAGCAAAGTAAATGTTTATTTCAATTTAACCTAAAGTGTGGCCCTTCACAGCAGCCTCTGCGGCCCCAGAGATGCAGAGAAAGCACAGAAAGCTGTGGAGAGTTATTCTGCAACCGTTGCCATTCACAACATTTGTGAAGAATTGTAGCAGAATATCATATTGGCTAGACATTGATTTGAGCTATCTCAGGTTAGAAATACCATTAGCACACAGGCCATGCGCTTTTTTCAAATGAATGTAAATACTGAATTGTATTGGGAATTCTAAGGCAAACTGCAACAGCTACTGGCTTCAGTGATGGCTTATACATAATGTCTGTATGATATATGTATATTAGGTGGTTGTCATCAGTGCATTATGTACACATGTGTGGAAAGAGGAGGATGAAGGGGAAAGAAACAATAAAAAGTGAGGGCACATTAACAGGGTCTGGGGTGCATTAACAGAGAGAGGTGTGCTTCCGGGGGTTTGCGTGCCGAGGGCTGCGAGAAGACAGCGGCCTGTCGGTTTGAAGGGTTTGGCACGGGGCCAGACGGACGCACGGTGGCGAACATGGGTTCATCTTCAAAGAGCGAACCAGAGATGGTGATGAGACATGAACATGTCTGTGGTGAGTCCATGCCTTTCGAGCTGGGTGTGCGTATGTTGTGTGTGTGAGGTTATAAATAGCTCTAGAAAGTGGACCTAATAGAAATCAGGCCTGGTATTAGGAGCAGCTCCCTTAATACTCAACAGCCCCCAATGGATTGTTTGTCAAACGGTGCACTACAGAGCACTCCATCAACACCTTTAGCATAATACCTATACACAAATTAGAATGCAGAATTTGTACGGAACTGGACAAGATTTATAAATGGGGAGCAATTTTGATTTGTAGATCGATAAGAATTGACCAATCATGTTTGAGCGGGCTTTATTTGCATGGTAAGCAGTTGGTGTAGAAAGAACCTGATGTGCAAAACAGAAGGGCACTTTTCGGAACACAATTGCTATTTGTTTTTTATATTATTTTTGAAGTGGTTACCTTTTGTAGTCCAAGCAGTTTTGACAAATCATGTTTTTGCAGGCTTTGGTTGCATGGAGGTAAACAGTTTAAAAATATAAGGTACAAAACACAAGTGCCCATTTCGGATAGCTTTTTTTGCTCTCTTTTATTTGTTTATTTTCACTCATTTTCAGAGATGTATAGAGAGCTGTCAACGTCACCTCTCAACCCAGACTACGTCTACATTTGCTAATCGTACTGCAACAAAAGGAACACCGCATTAAAGACGAAGCCTTTGCCTCGATATTTCCTTGAAAAAACGAGTGCCTCGAAATATTGTCCGTTGACACAAGAGGCTAACTTGTCATCGGACCAATACTTGATAGGTAATATTTTAGCACCACAATGTATCTAAATCTACAGTTAGACCACCAAAAATAGAGAGAATATTTCTCTAAAGTAGCATGTGATATCAGGGCCTTACCTAAAAGCAGCCAGGTACTCCACGTCACCCATGGGAGGTTCAAGTCCTCCTGTAAAGGCCATGTTCACGTTGAAGCCTACGCCTGCTTCACTGCCCACCTGCAACACAAGAAACATGGGCACCCAGGTTACTTTGTGCTTTGTGGAGACAGGCAGCCAGAGAGATGGACTGGGGGTCCTTTCCCACCTCGTCAGGTGCTCCACTGCCAGGGAAGAAGTTCCCATCATCAAAGCGATGCAGCGACAGGTAGAGAACACTGGGGTCTGCGTAGAAGGCCTGCTGGGTACCGTTACCATGGTGGACGTCCTGGAAACATTGAAAAGGGATGGGTTAGGATAAAATGTAACATAGAGAGCGGTGTGCGAGGTTTGTAAAAATGAGGGAGCCGCTCTAGAGACATAAGAGAAGCCGACTTGTCACCAAAAGGACATCAGATGATTGGGTTGAACAGATCGACAATCCGTGTGTAAATGTGTAATCGGCACATTTTGAACACCTTTCAAAAATGAAAAATAAGAACTGTTCACACAAATAATATTGAGACAAATCGACCTTCGTAGTGCACTAAGACAAACTGAATGATGCTCAGAGACTGCTAGATAGACATGTACCTCAGCTGCTCTGATGTCAAAATAAGATGGTCAGCAGGATTCAATAAAACACTTCAAAGGTTATTCAAAAAAACATCAGTTGAATGACCTCATTTTCTCTTTCCCAAGAATGCTTTAATAAACCGGTCCTAAAAATGTCCCCTGATGGCTGGACGGGCATGACAATGAGTTCGCTAGCTGCACTAAAAGTTCCCCTGTGACAGACAGAGGAAATGAAAAGGACCTTCAAAGGCTTTTGGCAACGGCCATGACGAGTGAGGGAAGCCGCTGAAGAGCAGCTTTGTCATTTTTCAAAAGAGAGACAGCGTCTGACCTAAATAGACAATATTTTAAGCCCTTTTATCCTCTCATAACATAGCTTGCCTACCAATTTCTGAAAGAAAATAAAACTAATGAAAGCACAACATAAATAACTGCCACCGCAACAACACCAGAGTGCATTCTCTAAATAGCTTGTTTTGTAATAATGACCCATTGTGTTTTATGTTGAACTCACCCAGTCCACGATGAGGACTTTACTGACGTTGAGTCTCTGCTGCAGCAGTTTGGCTGCTATGGCGACTGAGTTGAAGTAACAGAAGCCCCTGGAAGGAGAATGGACAGTAATTCAATGTAGTTGAACATACTTTATTTGTCCCTTAATGTAAATTCAAGGATATCACAGGTAAAAGTGTTATAGGTCAAAAGAGCAAGTGCATTTATCAGTCATTATTACACAGCATATTAGAATACTCAATTCTGATTGGTCAATCTGGACATTTCAGAGGTTGCTTAGTAATATTTAAATACAGTCACGCCATTAAATCTAATTTTAAGAACAACACATTAAATGCCCACAGTGCATAATTAAGTAGAAGCTTTAATATGTGCTATACAGAGGACTATTACAACATGGAATGCAAATTGGAAGACACTGTATGTTCTTACGGACATTTTATTTTGGATACATTTAAGGCATGGAGGAACTGTGTAATAATAATAATGTATTTATAATAGGGCTGCAATAAAACAGACTAGAGCTTATCTATGAGCTGGTTACATTTCCTCATGTACTTACATTGGCGTGCTCTCCTCAGCATGGTGTCCAGGTGGTCGAACTACAGCAAAACCATTCTGTCAGAGGGAAAGAAAATCATTCACATATGTTAAACTGTTACTGGAGATAAACCAATAAGGTCCTTGTTATTTCTGTATGACCTCAAACCTGCTAAAATCAAGTTTGTTTATATTGCACATTTTGACAAGTGTAGACCTCATGTATTTAAAAATAAAAAGTAGGCAAAGTTCATAATTGAAAACTTCAAATGTTATTAGAAAAAAGGGAAGAAGACAAGAAGGTAAAATAATTGTTTTGTGTTAAAAGAAAATCCTGTTTCGTAACACCTTTAGGCCCTAAAAAACGCGATTAATTTTTGAAATAATAGTAGGAAGAATTATTCCAGCTCCAATAATATATTTCGACCCAACTCCGTCATTTCCTCGGACCCCAAAAATGTAAAGCAAAAATGATTTAATCTTTTAACTTCCCTTCTAGTGTCGGTCAATACCAAACATAATCCTATCACAATTCATTCTTCAAAAATGCCACCATATCTGAAGTTCAAGATTTAAGACGTTTTCTAACAGGTAGAGTAAACAATAAGTGTATCGATACACATACAGAAACATATGCTTACTCTGGGTCATTTAAGGGGACCTTTGCTCAGGCGTGGACATGCGGGACTCCAAGCAACAGTTTTCAGGGCACCCGCTGCTATGTGGGGACATTAGATAGATGTCCATGCTGATGTGGAGCGAGGCTAGCTGGACTAATGATGTTGAGTCAGCTGCTGCGGATTAACAGCCTGCCGGGAGTTTATTGTAAAGACAACTGCCTCAGCTGGATCCAGACACTCGGTTAACTCAAGCCGCATAATACAGTACGTACGTAGGTGTGTGAGAATACGTAACAATGTATTAAGATAGAAGGGAGGGGGGAATAGAAAGCGCTGCTTGGAGTGATAGTCGTGTGTGCATGAGTAGATTTATGGCACTGTGTAGACTTCAGAGAGTAGCTGGCACAGGTGGAATTTGGTCGTTCGGCTGTTGAGGATCCTCAGAGGAACATCTGTATGTGTGTAAGCATGTGTGTGTGAATGTGTGTGCGTGTGTACACATGTGCATGTATGTGTTAAGATGAGGTTAAGCTGAGGGCAAGTCAATACCTGTGAACTTTAACCCTACATTCTTCATGTTTGACTGAAGTTCAAGGTTTGTCCTCCTGGGATGTGTAATCCTTTTAAACTCCAATCACACAATGTTCCATATAGGAAGAACAGACCTATATTTCCTCATGGTAATGATTGCAAGAATTTATAGTGAAAAATATGGTGAGCTCATGTCCTTCAGAGGAATGTCATTAGTCTGTGGTTAGTAAGTTGGTGCTAAGCTAACGCTAAGTGCGACTGCTGCTCTGCAGGTGTCTGTGGTGTAATGCTAATAAAAGAGGCCTGTTAGTGGGGAGTGCAGTGCCAGTGCTCCAGGCCCCCCTGCTGGGTTCAAACAGTAAGCAGCCCTCGCCACAGACACAGGAAGGCTGGCTGGTGGGCAAAGCAGGAGGGGGGGGTGGGGATGTCTGTCTGGGAGGTGCTAACGAGACTGTAGGGTGGAGGGAGGGTTTGCTTTTCTCTAGGTGTTTGGAGGTGTGGATGGATAGTTTAGTGCTATGAGAGGCTAGACTTAAAGCGTTAGGTGTAATAACGTGTATAAAGATCTACACAATAAAAAAAAGTTAAAAAAAAAAGAGGAAAGAAATACACATTTTTTTATTATATTAATATATAGAGCCAAGAAAAAAGTATTGAAAATGCATAGCTTGTAAAAAAAATAGCTCTCCTGTGAGATATCCAATGTAATGTAAAGCGCTTTGAGCATTCGTTAAAGCGCTAAGTAAATGTAATGAATTTGTATTATTATTACATTGTTTTTGGTAAAAGACCTCAAAACCTTATGGCCAAATAACCACACAGTTTTTGCTAAAATACAAACAAATTGTAAAAAACATAATTTAAAGTCTAAAGGTGTGGTTTTAAGAGGGGCTGAAATAATAAAACCCTTTAAAGTTGTTGTCATTTTCTTTTTTTGGATGGGGTACATCTGATCTTTGTTTCATGTTTCTTAAACTTAGCCTTTACTCACGCCAATCCCTAAAAACATAGCTCAGCCATTACTTTGGTGATCATTCGGAGTGGAGAAAGCCAATTTACCTTGAGTTCTCCCGATGCTACTTTGAAGACCAGCTCCACCACGGAGCCCACGGCCAGACGAGCCGCGCTGGATGAATGGACCTCATTCCAGATGGTGTCGTTATCCACCTGCAAACAAACACAAATGTTCCGTTATGTGTTGTTAATACCACATTTATAAAAGGGAGTCAAAACATGCAACGTTATATTGTTTTCCATTTATTGAGAGACATTTGATGTTGTGGTTTATTTCAGTGTGACGGCGATTGTAAAACTGTGAGGACATTTGAAATCATTTGGCTTATGTCATTTCACATCAAAGTGAGTCTTTGAAAGTAATAGTTTTGGGACTGCTGGCATGTTCTCTGAAAACAATAGAAACTGTGAGGCAGTAACACATATTTAGAAGCTGAATCACACAGACCGCATTATTTCTGAACATTTATTTTTTCGCAAACACGAAGAAGCAGATGTAAAATAACCTTGTTTCAAGATGTTCTTCAATACAAACAGACATAATGGGCTCTTCATTCTGGCATTTATCGAAATGTTATGTTTTCAATTCAAAAGATAAGAGTTATTTTGAAACACATTTTCGAGGTCACATGAAAAAGAAAATTAAAAGTCTGGGGACAAACACACTGGAAATTGAAGTAAGGCAAGAAAAATACAGCTATTCTGCATTTATTTATTTGTTTTATATAGTAAATATAATAATTAAAGATTTACTGTACGTATGATTGTATATGTGTGTTCAGACATCATTCAGTGGTCAACCCACATTATTCTGCAGCACGCTTGACCCTCAGCCCCAATCACAAACAGCCCATCCACACACACACACCAACATGCATACAAGCCAAATGGAGCACAATACTCTACGTGATTGATTGTGAACAGGGCTATGCACAGGATAACACACACACCCTCCATCAGGCATGGCAGACAGTGCAGGCAGATGGAGCGCATGATAAACAGGGAGAGAAGAAGCTGGCGAAGGAAAAGAAGAAAAGGAAAGTCGATGTGTTTGAACCGTACACACATGTGCTGGGCGGACCGTGCCAGAGCTTTGGTCGAGGCTTTCTGATGTACCCCCGAGGGCTCTCCTTTGAATATATTAACCTGCCAGTCTGCTGGCCTTTTCATTCACACTGACGGCCTTTCAGTCAGTCAGCTGGTGCCCTCACCCCTCACCCCATTAACCAGGCGCTGTGTTAAGAGACTCGACTGGTTCTCTTGTCTGCAGTGATCAAGGCTGGAGGACAACTCCATAATGCATCCAAAGAGGAAGAAAAGGCTCTTTCTTAAGTTGCGCCAAGAAGACCATGAAATTAAAACTGTGGTGCACTTATTGTAGACTTAAAAAGTTGTAAGGGGGTATAGGGCAGGGGTGTCAAACATAAAGCGCACGGGCCAAAACCGTCCCAGCAAAGGTTCCAATCCGGATGACTTTGCAAAGTGTAAAAATGACAGATTTTTGTGTATTGGGTATGTATACATTTTGAAATGTTACGAGTCAGGGGGATAACTTAAACTCTTTTCTTAATAGTTCCCACTTTAGTTTGTATGGTGGTGTGTCAGGATTACCGCACAGATGTGGAAATTAATGTAAAATGACTACATTTGTTAAAAAATATATCATTCAATGTGAACATTTTAAGAATATTCTTCTTGACATCAAAACAAAGGGAACCATTTGGAGTTGTCTTTATTTATAGGTTATTATGCTATGCATTTTTATTTTCTAGCCAACTTGAAACCACATTTGGGTGCATGTGGCCCCTGAACTAAAATGAGTTTGACACCCCTGGTGTAGAGAGTGGCTGTGGGAGCAGAATGAGAGGAGAAAGTGGTGTAAGAGAAAGACATTGTGTAGTAGCCGAGTCGGTGATTGAGCGTTCGAGAAAGTGAGGAGCCAAGTGAGTGAGTGAATGGGAAACTGAATCATATATACAAGTCAGGTTAATGAGCGCAAACAGATGCTGCTTTAAAGCGCCATGTGGAGACTGGGTGGTTTATTATTTCCCATGTTGATGTTAGTTTCGCCTCGAGCCAGGAGTGGGACGCAAGTTCGTCAGGAAAAAAAAGTGAAAGGGAAAGAGAAGGGGTAGGTAGAAAAAAGAGCGGGAACGTGCTGGTATGACGGAATGATGGTTCCCCACAGGCTGACAGCCTAATTTCAGCCCCCTTCCTCTGTAAATGTGTGTGTGTGGGGTTGACTTGTATGTGTGTGTATGACAGGAAGACAACAATTTAGCCCCATTTGCCATTATAAAGGGCAGAACAAGGCAGTGCGAGGCTCCACCTCTTCTTGTTCCCACCAGCAGCAGCAGTAAGCCTCGAGGGAGGGAGGGGGGGAGGGGGAGGGAGAGTGGAGGTATGGATAACATGTAAATATTGGAGCTGGAAACAGCAAGTTTAACTACAATGGGATCGGGCGGCCGAGATCCTCTCCACATTAAAGAGCAGGCTTAAAGGGGAAATATGATGCAAATGTTCAGGTTCATATTTGTATGTTGTGCCTCTACTGTGAAAGGTTTACAAGCTTTAATGTTCAAAAAGGTATTTCTCATACTGCCTGTGCTGCAGCACCTCTTTTCACCCTCTGTCTGAAACCAGAGCCCAGTCTGCTCTGATTGGTTAGCTGGTCGGCTCGGTTGTGATTGGTCAACCGCTTAGAGAGGTCCTGCCCCTTAATCTATCATGAACAATAGCCGCTTTCACACCAAGTACTTTGCCGTACTTAGTTCCCAGTACTTAGTCCCGCCGAACTCTTTAGTCCCGTAACTGTCCTAGTAAATCGCGTTCACACCGGAAAAAGTCGGTGGGAGGATTAGGCAAATGAAGCCGCTGACGTCACTTCTTCTTCTTCTGCTTTAGGTTTACTGGCAGGCCGCAAACAACTTCACGGCGTATACTGCCACCCGAAGTCCCGGAGTCCCCCGGAGTCCGGGACTTTGGGTGGCAGTAAATCTCCACCCGAAGCCCCGGGTAAATCGCCAGAAGCGCAGACACCTCCTCATCACTCCACCGATCCCACGTTTTATTTTGTGTTGCCATAAGTTAGTCTCTCTCCGTTGGTGCGCTGGGCTAATGCTAATAATGCTAATGCGAGGAAATAAAATGGCGGCTTCACAAAAACTTTTCAGAGTTTTACGGGACGTGGTTTGCAATTCGCCCAGCCAATCAGAAATTGGAACCTTTTTCTCCCCAGGAAAGTCCCTACTCTCTAGCCGGGACTGAAAAGGGGTGAAAAGGTTTGCATGAACTAGGTTCTAGTTCCAGATCTTTTTGGTGTGAACGAAAAATCCCAGGAACTATCGGAACTATTCCTGGGAAAAGTACTCCGGTGTGAAAGTGCCTCCTAATGTATTGGAGAACTAGCCAATAGAACCACGAGTGTTACTTAGTGATGTCACTATGTTAAGGAGGTAAACAAAGGAGTCCAATGGAGGCGTTTCTGGCAGGGCTGAGGGGGGGGGGGGGGGGTTGTTTGAGAGAAACTCCATCTGGAGGGATCACAGGGATTTTAGCCTTTGCAGATCATTTACATGCTCAAAAACCAATATAACACACTACAGGAAAGGAAAAAACCCCATATGCATAGGGCCCCTTCAAGTCTTAATTTTGTGTTAAAGCTTACATTTAGGGCTGGCTCAGGCTTACCTTGAACCAGCCCCTAGTTTTGCTCCTGTAGGCTTACTGTCAGGGGGAATTCAACGTATGTCCCAAAAATACATGTTGTGTCTTTCACCTAGCATTATTTAAAAGGTGTAATGTGTGATATTGAGCTTTAGAAATAAAATGTAATTGATTTAATTTAAAGGCCTATGTACTGTAGGTATGTGTGTATTGGGCTAATCATTGGAAATCCTCAACAATATGGATAAAAAGTCAACAGTAACACACGCATGCAGGTGCTAGACTGTTCCAGCATATCCATTTGGAAAAGAAAGCACTTCCAACCATCTACATCATTGCCTTAGCACACTAACATCCCCAAACAAACTGCTCTGCACACAAACAAAAACATACCCCCCAACCGTACCAACGCACACACACACACTAACACACACAGCTCGTATGGTGAAAACATCTGGTTATAATTACAAACACGGCGGAAAGCCAAGCTACAGCTTTTGTTGCCTCTGGTCCTTGAAGGGCGTTGTGTGTGTGTGTTTGCAGATTGTGTGTGTGTGTGTGTGTGTGTGTGTGTGTGTGTGTGTGTGTGTGTGTGTGTGTGTGTGTGTGTGTGTGTGTGTGTGTGTGTGTGTGTTTGGCGGAACAAGAACAAATGGGACTATTATTTAGGCAGGGGGCAGAGAGAGATTGCGCGCAGTTGTTATACTACTTTTTCATGAAGCTGAAAGTAGTTTCATTACAAAGTCAGATGCCAGTTGGGTATTGATTAGATTAGCACAATGTTGTAAAAAGAAAAGCTGTTAAAATAGTCTGTTACAGCAATTTTCCACTGGATAAGCGTGACTAACGTTGGCAACTTCCAAGTTATATCAGGCACACAAATTACCAATACTTAATTACACAGTGAATATTTGTAAAATGACTCAAGCATGACTTTATGAAGCAAGAAACTTACCCCTACTCCTCCGCATGGTAACCTCACAAACATGGGGCTCACTGAACCTGAGGCAGGAAGACAGAAAATGAGAATTAGAAATAAAGAGCGAAAGGTCACCAGGTGAAGAGGTAACTTTCTGGACTCATGGGCACAAATACGCACATGACCTCTGATTCTGAGCATTTGACTTTCTGACCTAATCTAACAACAAGAGTATACAGGGGCTTGCTTTAATTGGGCGAAGTGAAGGGGGAAAACAGTATGTCATTGGCCTCATAATGAAATCCTCTCAGGAGGAATCTGGAGATCTGTTGCTGTAAAGTTAAACAATGGAAATGAGTGAACTTGTTTTGGTCTAGAGATTACAATTTTCTCTAGATGACAAAAACCTTAGTTGTTATGTCTGTTTGGAATTTTTTACTTGGTTTATAGGTTTTTAGACCAAAAAAATAACTGCATGGAATATCAAACATTAACCTAATGCCAATCCAGACAACTGGATCAGACAACTGGATCAGTATAGCAATAACTTTGACAAAAGATTAAGATTGAATTAACAGCTGACACATTTATGATAAAAAAAATTGACAAAATTAAAAGAAAAAAGTCAGAAAAAGTAAGTAAAATACACAAGGTGTAAGCAGTGTTGGAAAAAGTATTCGGATCCTTTATAACAGTAAGTAAGTAAAAACACAAAATTATTAGCATCGAAATGTATTTCAAGTATCAAAAGTGAAAGAACATTTTTATACTTATACATTGACTAGTTTGTCAATGTGGACTGCATTATACCATATCAGCATATTTGCATATGCACAAAGTAACTAGTAAATGTGTGTTGAGTAAATATAGTGGTATAGTGTAGTAAAGTGTAGTGTAGTAAAAAGTATAAAGTGGAATAAAGTACAAAAAAGTACTTGAGTACAATACTTGAGTAAATGTATTTAGTTACTTTCAACACCTGGTGTAAGGACTGTTCCCCGACTATAATAGAAACCATTAAGGACACCAATAAAGAAACTAAAACCAATACAAATGTCCATCTGAAGTGTAGACTTCATTAAAAAAAACTGCAGAAATGAAAACTGCAGGTAAACGTAGTCGGACATAATCCTTAAATGGATTAGACAAAAGTGCAAAAGCAGCATACAAACCAATAAAAAAGCATTATTTTATTTAATTTAACTGCATTCTTGGTACAAGGTTTTTTGAAGAAATGTATCAATGTAAAAATGTACCTGCTCTTATTTTCAAAACATTAAACTAATCCCAATTCAGTGTTGACAACTGGACAAGTGTTAAGTTTCATGAGTGAAACAACAGACCTCTGAAGCTCTATGGTCTCAGGAAGCCACCCGCTTATTCAAAAATACGTTAGTATGTTCTAACAGTTTGCTTTTCTACTTTCTACTTGGTCTCCATTTTTTATTTTTGGTGCGTGTGCAAACGCACCTGTTTGCTGCTGAACCTGGTGCAGGATTATCTGGTATTTCTCCTGTGTAAGCAGTAATAATGAGGGGAATGTATGTCTGCGCTGGAATGAAAGCTAAGATGACCACTGGGGTTTGCCCCTTCTGCTCAAACCCACACGTATAAAGAGACTGCCTCGGCTACACCTGCACTTCGAGCCACTAAAGGCCAGACATAAGTGACAAAGCAGCCTGCGCGACTTCCAGTTAACAAGCTTCAACAGTTCCTCGCCTTATCGTAACACCTCCAGGACTTTATTAGATCGGACCATTTGTTATGACACGGTTTAAGCATTAAAGCAGACTCCTTTTGCAGACGCTGCAGCTTCAAAGCATTCAAATTAACGATTTAGAGTAGGATTAAGTCTTCTTAAATGGACACACATGACTTAATATTGATATGTACAGTGTGTTGTCTGCTTTGAGCAGTGTGTTTCAGCATTAAAGCTTCACATTTAAGCAGAATACTTTAGATTAAGCAGGTGGTTGACAGCATGATTTGCAGTCAGATTGCCTAGAAATCTATATTGCAGCTGCTACTTCAGCTCAAAATTGTAATAAGCTTTTTTGGGATATTGTGTGTGTGTGTATATATGTGTTCTAGTAAGTCTTACAGTCCAGTTTCTGCCGCAGTGGGTTGGTTCCGTACAGCAGGACGTGTGCTTCGGAGTGGACCGTCTGTAACTCCTCCAGTGAGGCCTTCCTGCCGCGGATACACTGGAGAGGACACAGGTAGAGAAAGATCAGACAAAGAGAATCACAATCAGTATTGATTCAACTGAAATTGACAACATACACACTACTGTGTTTTGTTTTGATACTGTACGTATTTCAAAGCTGCTATGTTGTTTCCGAAAAGGAAAAATAAAGTTAACAAAAATGTAATAAATAAACAAAGTGATGAGTAAAGTGAAACCATCCAATCTGACATAGTCGGCAAAGAAAACGGAAAGGAAAGAGACACAATGTTATTAGTTCAGGGTCCATGCTCCGCATTTATGAAATCAAATCAGGTTTTATTTATAAAGCACATTTTAAAAGCGATTTTTGGTCGAGCCAAAGTGCTGTACATGTATGAAGAAGTAGTGCAGATAGGTAGGTTCAATGGTGTCTGCACGTATAAATGTATTTATGAATAACAGTAGGAAGGGAAACTGGTTAATTTTCAAGCCATAACTAAAAATGTGTAATGTTCTTTTGTAAAGTGAAGAGTCAAGCGAAGATAGCTACACACTGCCCCCATCTGGACATTTTAACCATCTGCACTCAGAGTTTTATTCTGGCAATATGTTAAAGACTAACTCTTGAAGAGATTTTTTTACAACAAGGATAAAGAAACAGAACACAACAGGTGTACGTACAGGAGATTAAGTAGTGAGAAACATGTAGCTTTAATTTAATGTAGCATCGGTATAAAACCATTAAAGGTGGGGTAGGTACGTTTGAGAAACCGGCTCGAGATACACTTTGTGTTATATTCCATGGAATGCTCTTAACATCCCGATAGCAATGAATATCTTAAGTGCTTTGACAAAAAATCCATTAAAAAATGTCATCTGTGGAAGCCGTGGTACTGTAAAAAGCACGACCAATCATTTTAGCCGGCCCGGCTAAAATAACTGGATGGCCTACCTGCCTGTCAGCCTTCCATCGGGGCACAAACTTATCTCGTGCCCTCATTGGTCATGTGCGCGTTCGTGTGTGTTGGAGGAGGGGCTCTATAAGGAAGTGGCAGATTTTCTCCGGTTGTGTATTTTCAAATTCTAGCTCACTCGAGCTCAGTGGCGAGCCGTGAGCTTTATACCTAGGCCCTCTGACCCCCACCAATTCCCTCGAAAAAAAGAAAAAAAAAGAGTTATTACGTCACAGCGTATACTTCAGCGGAATATCAAAACAACGGCCCAGGGTGCAAAACGCATCAATGACAGCGACCCTCTACCACACAAAACAACACCTGTGAACCCAATTTGTGTTCTTTGACATTGAAAATGATATTGCATTGTGTTTGTTACTTTCGTTGCAGTTGTATGTCTTAAGTGTAATTTGGCATGCTTTTATTTTGAAGGCGAGTTCACGCTGTTGACAGGAAGTTGTTGTTGCTATGGAAACAAGAAAAGTTTCACAGCGGGCGGAACTTGTCATAAAGTCCGCGATAATAAAACCCACCCATTTAGAGGGAAGATATGATTGGTCAATTGTACTGTCATTTGACATTACTCTCTCGTTCAGTTACTATAGCTGGCCCTCTGTGAATCGCAGAGAGGGCCAGACGAGCTTCTTTCATGTAACCCTTCACATTCAAACAGAGACTGAACAGGCAGATTCTAAGGATTTATTTCTTTGGAAATGTTATTTTAAATACAATTAAATCAAGTTTTTTTTCGGTAAAACTAATGAAAAATATAACAAAAATAATATTAAAAAAATATATATTTAAAAAATATATATATTTTTTAAATGTTTTTAAATATTATTTTTTAGAATATCTTAGGCCCTCACAGAGGGCCTAGAGGGCCCTGACGGCTTGCCACTGCTCGAGCTGGTTTCTCCAAAATTACCTACCCCACCTTTAAAGTGCTTCTCCTATTTTAATTTTTAGTTGTGGCCTCTAAAAAATAACATTCAAGGACCGAAAAGGATAATATTCCACCTTAAAACGTTGGTAACATCCGTTTGTTTAAATCTCTTCACTGATATCATACTGTGAATCTAACATACATATTTTCCAGGATTTCACAGGAAGATGGAGACATGAAGAGCATACTGGATACAGGAGGGCGAGATGATTTACATTAGATTGGTGTCAAGATGAAGCTTTTAAAAAGCAACTTACAGTAAACCATGAAGACACAAGTGCTACGTGCAGAAGTGTGTCTTTTTTTAATTCATTTTATTTGCAAGGTGCAGTCCAAACAGATACAGATTTCCGTCTGCGATGGAGGAAGTCTTATTACTTATTTGACTCTCCGTTACTCCAGCAGAGGACAATTCAAATCTGTTCAGTTTGATCTAGAGTTTGACAAACATTATATCTGTTCAACTCTGTCTCCTCATGCTGCACCCTGGGGCCTCACCTCGCAGTGCGCCCTGAGGCCTGTCTCCTGCAGGCGGGACCAGATGCTCTGGATGCGGCCGGCGTGCTCTGGGTGGCTGGTGGTGTTCCCGCACATACACTGGTGCTTCTGCATCAAAGAGTCGTACACCAGACCTGGAAAACACACACAGAGTAATTGTATATCTTCAACGCAACAAGATTCCTATAATCAAAGTCTTATGGTCTATTGCACCTGCTTCAGCTTAAAAAAAAGCTAATGTTTAGATGATTCTGTACAGTAAATGACACTTGTTATGGTATATATTGTCAGAATACATAGTAACAGCCTTGCACACACACAGTGAGTGTATGTTTGCTCCTCATGCTGTGTGGTTCCAGGAAAGGCTTTCTCTAACCTGCAATCAGCAGGATTAGAGTGTTCCTACATGGTTGTTTGCCGCTCTGCTTTATGATAGATCTCTGAGTGAGTCAGTGTCCCTTAATGAAAACCATTATGAAAATGTGCGTCAAGAAGCTTTGTTTACTAGATAAGAAGATGGTGAAACTGCACTGATGTCAATGAACACTATCAGCATGCAGTATGAATGACGAAAAGAGAAGTAGTGCATTCATCAACCTGTGTGTTTCATCAGATAAGATCTTCTTGACATGAAATAAGTTTGGACTAGATAGACGGAGCAGTTGAATTTAAAGACAAAAAAAGTACATTCAAGACAGGATTCATACTAAATAAAAAGAACAGCTGACAAATGTAAGATACAAATCATGTGGACTAAATGAACACTAATGTGTAAGGACTTTTCCTAGTTAATGTCACTAAAACAATGAAGGCTGCAATTTCCATCCTATTTTACATACAAAAATAATAAGGACATATCCTTGTGTCCTTTATATACTGTATCACGGTGTTGCGAAGAGCTTTAATTTAACTCAAAATGTGTTAGTAGTTGCATTTTTTGGGATAAATGTCAAGTCGTTTTTATTATTTATTCTATAATATTTTAAAATTGTAAAATATATTGCGTTTGGGATTCAAGGCACATGATTACGCATTTTGTCAGTGTTTTCATTGTTAATCTTATAATGTGTGTAAAAACAAGACTTTGAATTAACATTTATGGACAAACTAGGTCAACATTTCTTTTTAAATAAATGTAAATAAATCTAGTGTTAAAAAAGTTAAAGCTTACTCCTCAAATGGATTGGAACCGAGTAAGAGGAAAAAAAACCTAACTCAAACCGCAGTGTGTAGGTGTAAGACCCTCATCATTTGTATTTTTCAACAGACCTGTAGTGAACCGAGGCTTGGCGGGGGGCTCCTGCACCACCATGGGGAAGGAGGCGGAGGCGGGGGACGACTGCGCCCTGGAGAGCGGGCGGTGTCCGGCGAAGCTGACCGATAATCCCGCTTTCTCCATGGAGGCCTGGTAGTCCCTCAGCTGGTGGATCCGCTGCTGCTCTAACAGCAGAGCCTGTTGCTGGCCCACACAAACACACACAGACACACACAGTCACTCACATGTTCACTGTGACTGCTGCACTGCAATGTCTGTCTCCTGCCAGGAGATGGCACTAGATTGTCGCAAATATCAAGCTGCTGTAATAGAATATACACATAGGATGAGTAGTTATACACAGTCACATGTTGGTGTTTTTCTGTTCTGTACAGTAATGTTGAATATTTAAAATGATAGGTCTTACAATTCTTATCTTTTGAACATTTGGTTATTATTTGGTTTAATATATAGTTTAATTATTTGTTCTTTCTTTTTTCTTCCAAAAAACATTTGCTCTTAGATTCAAGGCAAACATTTTTTTGTTTTATTCATACCATATGTACATTTTTACATACAGTAAAGATTTGTATTTGGAAAAAAGCCCATATAAGTCAATACATACAACTACATAAAAAGGACTAGACTTAATAACAACAATGTTATTTATTTTCTTTAGTTGACTTCACATAATAATTATTCTATGTATATGATTATAAAAAGGGAGCAGCCTAGAACAAACAATGATCTAATTGCATCCAACTGCCTTCAAATTGAAAAACACATGTACTTTTATTTATGAATGATTTGACAGTATTTATAATAAGTGCTTAAAAGCTCTTCCCATCGAGTTAAATATCTGATCTTTCCACTCAAAAGAGTCTCGCCGAGCAATCCTCTCTGTTAAACCCTGATGGGCGTGTCTGCTTACACTGGGCGCCATGGCGACAGTGAGAGGAGTGCCTGATTGAATTTGGCTGAGCGGACAGTAGGGATGGGCGAGACAAATGAGGACATGGTGTCCTCCTCATGGTGTGTGTGTGTGTGTGTGTGTGTGTGTGTGTGTGTGTGTGTGTGTGTGTGTGTGTGTGTGTGTGTGTGTGTGTGTGTGTGTGTGTGTCCCCACAGATTGTGTGCAGTACAGAGATAGATGTACAAGTAGGGTTTTTGTGTGGGTGAAAATCTGAATTCTGAAAACAAGAGAAAGTGATTGTCTATGTGGAGTGGTGCTAAAGGGAGTAGCGTGGAGGAGGAACACGAGCCCTAAGCCATTCATAAAAGAATACTCCAGTAGTACACCATGTTTAAGTACTCTTTTTACTAAAAAATCAAATATGCCGGAGAGCGGGCTGGATTGACAGTCGGGGAGAAAGGCGGATCGAAAGCAAGTGTAGTGTTTCAGATAGTACTCGCTCCATCTGTCACTGCTGTCAGATTTTGCTTACAAAATAATCACCACATTTAGACAACCAGAGAAAAGATTCCCCCATTATATCTAGTTATAGTAACTTAGAACCTGAATGAATATGTTTTACACGGTGGATTGCAGTCAAATCAATCTGCAGAAAGAAGTCAATTCAACGTCAGACAACACCATGGAATGCGTTTTAAATATTCATTTCTATATTTGGGAAAGGCACACACTTGTGCATTTATGATGGCTAAACTGTCCCCAGAAAAGAAAAGAAAAAACAGCACAAGAGAAGGGAGGAGGTTAAAGACAGAGCTGGACAACAGAGACATGGACAGAAGACGACAGACAGGAAGTCAACTCTAAAGGGAACACGGAATGGGCTCTGGCGTTGTTTAAACAGTGGTGAATGGGAAATAAAATGTGGACTGACTTTGTCAGTTATGAAGAAGAAAACAGTGCTGCGGTTATTTGCAGTTACATGGCTGTCGCATAGCTTTGTTCCTCAACAGACTATTTGTTCTTAGTGGAAGCAAAACATTCGTACTTTAATCAATGAAATCATGCATATTATTCCTGACTCAGATAATGTTACTCAGATGGGGTTTGATGCCATGTCATAGCAGATCCGTTTATTCTTTTATTTTTAGTCTCCATTTCATTGTTGACACTGCCTCACAGCATTTAAATATTATTAATTTCAATTTAATTTAAGAAAACTACGACTACTTCGCAGACTTTTTAAAGTAAAGAGTATCCTCGTTTTCTACTATTCTTAATTATAGATTGGTCCATTATAAAATATTCTAATTTATTCTGTATATATTATCTCATGCATTCTTTAGATACCCTATAGATATACTGTGTATTGTTCTGCTGTTAATATATATATAATATATGTTGACTCCTGTGCAATGCTATGCTACCATCCTGCTGTGATAAAACCATTTCCTAATTTAGAATCAATAAAGTATTTCTAATCTAATCTCATTTAATGTCCTGCTTCCTTTCATCTCTTCATAGCGCTGTGTCTCTCTTATAGTCTTCCTCTCCTTACCTGTCGGAACATGAAGTCCTGCTCTTGGTCTCTTAGTCTCTCCCTCTTCTCTCTCTCCTCGTGCTCTTGGGGGTCCTGCGGCTCCTGCTTGATGACCATCCCTCGAAGGGGCCCCGTCTCCTGCGCGGACATAGGAGAGGAGGGCGCCAGGGAGAGGCCCTGGTGCTCCCTCAGCTCCTCCTCCGTCTCCTCCGGGTGGCTCTGGTGCTGCCGGCCGGGCCCCGAGGCGCTGGAGCCCACCGCCGACACCTGGTCCCCGGGCTTAGACATGATCTGGAGGACGGGAGGAGGAGTTCAGTTAAGAGGTTTTACAGAGGTCGGATTTCCACTGGGACATGCACGCTTAAAGTCCAATCAGGCAAAACTATTTATTTAGCCTGCACGGGTTGGATTTGAGGTTTTTGAATATTTTGTTTCCATAACATGTCTTCTTTAAGTGGAATGCAAGACATAAACGTAGGTATTTACTGTTGCGCTCACCACTCATATCAGTGTTTCCCATACATTGCGCCACAACTAAATATCGTCCGCCACAAATAGATAAAACATTTGTTGTTGTGGTCTAATGGATAGTGAGGTGATGATCGGAAGGTTGTGAGTTCAAATCCCGCCTGGAACACCTAGTACTAGTGTGCCCTTGAGTAAGGCCCTCACTTACTCCAGGGAGAATGTCCCTGTAATTGGTCATTGTAAGTCGCTTTGGAATAAGGCGTCTGCTAAATGCCTAAATTGTAAATGATATTTTTGGGAGAATAAACCCCACAGATCCTCAACTCTGGTGTCTCACTCATTAACAACGCAGAGCAACAAGAACGTTGTCTGCTTCAACTCGCATCTATTTTTTAGAAGTTAAAAATACAATTAAAAATAAAAACACACGTTCCAGTTTCTTTAGTACATCTAGAACTAATGCAGTCAAATACAACAGCGTTGCAATAAAACCTTCAAGCCCCACTGTTTTAAAGGAGAAATCAGAAATAGATTGTTTTTAACATTTAGTTGTTTTATTGTTGTTTTTATTATCTGTTGTGCTATTAGTTTGCCTTCACTTTTACAATCCAATTATCATTTGTACATTCATTTTATGTAACGATATTAAGGTGGAGGCTTTAAATAAGTCCACTGGGTTTTCTGCCTCTTCCTGATGTGTTTTAATGCAGAAACAATAAGCTAACCCTAACCGAGAGAACATCGGGACAGCGGCTCCACTGAAGATGTTTTTCATTCCAAAAATAGCTGAGAGAACAAAACATCGATGCAAAAGAACTAAAGGTTAACCAAACAAAAGCGAACTAATGGAGATAAACCAGACCTGTACTCTGAGCGCTGATATTTATTTAAAGATCTCCGTGACTATATTAGAAATACATATCCAGGTAGGAACCATGCCTCGGCCTGCAGAAAAGTGAGCAGAAGTCAAAAGAAAAAGAGGAAGAATTGCGGACTGGATCATTTTTGTTGTGGCAGCTGTCCCAATCCCTGTCGTCAAAGAACCTCAACCTTGATGTGTAGGTCATGATTGGAGTGGCCCACTGTTTGTGCTTGGAACACACACACACACACACACACACACACACACAGAGACACACACACGGCTGGCATATTGCCCAGGGAACAGTCCATTGACGTCAGAGAGAGGGCTCTTGCCTCATCCCGGTCCCTCTTCTCCAAACAAACTCAAAACACTCCTCCACTGACTCTCACTCTCTTGTTTTGCTCCCTTTTCTCTCCCTCCAACCTTTTCTTTTTCTAAACAGTGGAAATAGTTGCTGGGATATGAACCATAAGGAGGGGGGGGGGGGGACAGACACTGCTGTTGAATCAATTGAAAGGTGCAGATAAAACTTGACACGAGTTGACTCTTGTCACTTTCTTTCTGGCTTTTGTTTCTCACACACTTCCACAACAGTGTTATGCAATTGAGTTTAAATCGCAGGTGATCTTTGGTAAGCAGCAGCAGGCTCTAGTTGGAGTTGTTACAAAATCCTTTCTTTGCTGCCAACACGTCGGACCATTAAAGCCAGCATTTTCTCAGGGAGGGCCCCATTGCTGACTTGACTAAAAAAAGGAAAAGGATGATTCATGTGGAGGATATCCACTGGATAGTTTGTGAATGTGAGCTTATATTAATGGCAGCCATGATGGTCCTTATCTCTGTAATATAAACTGGTATTAAATCCATTCTGCTGAGACATGCTGCTGCCTGGAGTGCCGTACTTCCACGTGTTAAATAGAAAGTTATTGTTTTTCCAAACCTGATTATGCAATAAGAAGTATTTCTTGGGGGTGATTCTACTTTTTCCATCATGATATGATGTTTGAGAGGCAGTTAAGAGACGAAACATGGCCAACTTGGGACTTCCATCAAGGAAGTTATGTTTTGGGTTTGTTCGTTTTTTTGATTATTCAGCAGTATGAGGCGAAAACTACTGGTGCAATTTTACTCAAAATGGATGTAAGGGTGTAGAATAGGTCAAGAGAGATCCCATTAAGTTGTCGGCCGGATCAAAATGAAGGGGCAGAGAGATGCATTATTTTTTACTTTTCTTAAAGGGGCCCTTATTATGCTCACTTGCAGGTTCATATTAGTATGTAGTGTCTCTGCTGTGACATGTTTACATGCTTTAATGTTCAAAAAGATCTTTATTGTTCTCATACTGCCTGTGCTGCAGCACCTCTTTTCACCCTCAGTGTCAACATGCCTTTTTAGTTCACATCACATTTTGTAAGAATGGGACTGTTTGGTATAAACGTCCAATGGATATGGAACTATTCAACATTATAAAAACACAACTAACTGAATAATTAAGCCAGAGCGACCGAATATCGGAGAGGTGAATATTTGCTACTGTGGGAAAAAAAAAAAAATTCTCGAGATGGCTGCATTTTGGTAACTGTCGGATCCTGTTTTGTAGCTGTTGGTGATTTTACCATTGTTGCACCCATAAATAACTGCAATTATTTGAATTGGTGACGATGCGCCTTTGAGCCAATATTACACAACCGTCTTCTCGCTCAAGTTTATTCTTGCTTAATCACCTATTCCTGCGTTTGGAATAGAGGAATACAAAAGGTTTGGATTAATGTTGGCAACCACTTAATTGAAAAGGTTTTACTGCCAAACTTATCCCAGAGACAATCACATGTCAAGGCGTTTTTCTTGTTGATTTTGGTGGAAGATAAAAACTGTTACCATGGCTCTGGCTAACACCCAAAGTAAAAGTCTTTGGTATTTCAGGTGAGTGACTGAAATCATTTTGGAGTTCAGAGTTTCTTACTTGACATTAAAAGTAATACAAATGTAAAATGGTGCAGATGATTTCAGCTAACTGACCTTTACAAGCTATGCAGAACTCAGAGTGACCCCAGTTAGCTGAATTACCACCATCCAGTCTTTCCACAGCAACAACTTTAACTTGTCACTGAAGTTGATTAAACACCTACAGCTAGGGCTGTGCCGGATAATTGAAGCTTTAAAGCTTCATCCTAATCTGCTAGCGTTTAGCCTTTTAGAAACAACTATTTCACTGTTTTCTAAAAACGTTTTGCTGTCATGCTTGCCACACACAAAGGGAGGAACGCACCTTCATTCATTTATGTAACCAAAATAAGTAAAACTCCATCCATCGAAGGGCTGATCCACCGTAAAAACAGACAGAATAAAAAACTAATGGCATTCTGGGATAAAATCACAGCAGTGAGAGGAAAGCTGGCCAACATTAGCTGGCCAGCAGGATAAATCCTGCTACCTACTTGTTGGATAAATGGCCCCCCACTGAGCCACCATGTGAGCCGGATTTTTATTTTAATTAAATATAAGAACACTTTCAGAAGCAGGCAGGAGGCAATCATGTATTGAGTTGTTATTATCCAATTGGAATGCATGCTGCAAATGTCTTAATTAACATGGACCTACATTGAGTGGTCTGTAATTGGAGACACTGAATTAGCGAAGAAATCCTGTTTCACACACGCACAAGAACATTGAAGCATGGCATGTTCACAATAAAAAAATGTTTAAACAGAGAGGTGTTTTGTTTTTTACCAAAACAATGAAAAATGTCATGTTATTGTGATTATATAGTAGGGGGAAAAAGTATAGTGAATCAAATACAGTTTCTATTTTTTAATCCACAATGCAAAGTCATTAGTCAGTTGGTTGCCTGGAAAAAAGCATTAACACAATTTAATGTGTCGTGAAATAACCTGCTTTACACCTAAGCTGAACTTAATTAGCGGTAGTCACCAACAACACCAAGATAATGGGGCTAAATCCTACAGGAATTACAGCATGCGTACACACACACACACATATATATATTGACGCTCACACAAACAACCATCTCATCAATGACCTTATAAAGCTGCAAATCCCCTCATCACCTCGTGCGCACAAACACACACTTCTACTCATGATGCACCGAGGCAAACTTCCTGCGTGACCGTATATGGAGGCGGCTTCCTCTAAAGCACAGTTGCCAGGGTGACAGGGAGAAGTAGGGATAGACGAACACGGACAAGAAAGACTTGCTAGAAGACTTGCTGATTGCACGCTGATTCATCCTGCTCTTGTAGCAGAGACAGGATTCACAGAGATTAACCAATAAGCGCGCGCACACACACACACACACACACACACACACACACACACACACACACACACACACACACACACACACACACACACACACACACACACACACACACACACACCACACACACACACACACACACACACACACACACACACACACACACACACACACACACACACACACACACACACACACACACACACACACACACACACACACACACACACACACACACACACACACACACACACACACACACACACACACACACACACACACACACACACACACCTTGTTGATGATGTGCTGCTGCTGTTGGAACTGTTGTTTGTGTTTCTCCAGGAACTGCTGGTGTTGCTGTTGGACGACCAGCTGCTGCAGGGCCTGGGCTTGTCCACACTGCTGCTGGGGCAGGGGGGCCGACTGGGTCCTCCCGAGGGGGCGGTGGCCCCGCGCAAGTTTGGAGACAGAAGGCGACGTTAGCTGGAGGCCAGCAAGACCCACTGTGGTAAACACAGGAGAATATTATTACCTGTTTTGTAATGATCTGAGTCTAATTTCTGTAATTGATTCCATTATTCACTCTGAAAACAATACATTTTCTAAAAAGCTACGGTTGGTAAGAAGAATAAAAACAACTTAATGTAAATGTGTACTTAAGTTGTCACTTATTTTGAGAATGTTGCTTGAGACTGATAATCTGTGAAAAAAATCATGTTCTTTGATGTCCTCCTATTAACATAATAATACAATATAATAAAGAACAATCTATTTTGCTTAAGGAATATATATATTTTTAAAGTTCAATAGTTACATTTTCAATAGACACAAGATAACACGAAACAAAGACCTACATTTTAGACAAGACATTCTGAAGACCACCGCACAAAAACAGACACTGACACAAAAAAACCTAACAAACTAATTAAGAATATCTTTTAACACATGATAACATTAAGAAGTTCCAAGTTACTGTTTTTGAAGTTTTACAGCCTTGTTAACAAAAGAAGGAGCTAATCAAGCAAAATTATACTGACAGTTATATACTGTCATATTAGAAAGATTAATTTTATGTACATTCATTATTCAAATTAAGTTTCAAAATCCCTCATAATAGTTAACACAGAGAAGTGTATATCATTATATCATAATAATACAAACGAGACAGCAGCCACTGATAGCGAAGAAGTCAAGAATATAAATGTTGCAGTGGATACTGACCCATTGGATTGTGGCTCTGCTCCAGCAGCACCATGTGTTGGAGGAGGGGGTTGTGACCAGCCGTGCCCCCTCCGGCCCCCTCCCTGTCCAGAGCCGAGGATGCCAAGTAGGAGGGCAGGTGGGCAGTGGGCAGGAATGGAGGGGTCAGACCAATGCTCTGCTGTAACGCAGGCAGTGCCAGACGACTGTCACCATCTCGGTGTCCTGACACCACCTACAAGGACAGAAAGAGAGAATGAGACACAAGGAGGGAGAAGCAAAGACCAGGCAAACACAGAGAGGCAGATGGACGGAGACAAAGAAGGGTCAAATGAGACAGAATGGGAGTGAGATGGAGAAAGAGAGGCGGACATGTGAGGCACCTTCATGCCAAAAATAATTGATACGAGCTGTTTCGCAAACAAAATATTATTTTGTGCAGTGAGTGATTCTACAGAAGCCTTGAGACGCGAGTGAAAAGTAGTATATTGTGGTGATATGTTTGGTTTATCTGAACTAAATTGTATTCTTTTGAGTTTATGACTTAACGGTGAAAAAGGAGGTTAACTAGCATCATTTTCTAGACTCATGAACATTTGTGAACATAAGTGTTTGTTGTTGAAGGTCTCATTTCGGCCACAAGAGGCTAACAAAAAATGTGTGCTTTATACAATGAACACTTTTAGTTATTTTAACGTTTTTAATAATAATATTTTATGATAACTTCTGGCAGGTGACACTATATTTTCTTTTGTCAGAAGCATTTGTTGTTGTAGAACCCATTTTGGCCACAGGGGGCTACATCATAAAAGTTTTATACATCAAACTGTTGAAATTGATCCTGCGAAATAAATTCACCTGCTAAACTTTTAATTGTCTGCTTTTAACACATCAAACACAGAAACAAAAACTATTAATATTATCAAATAGATTATCTACATTTTTTCACTAGCCTCTCAGAGCTTCCGTAATTTTGTACTATGCAAGTATTGTTTTGTGCATTGAATGTACTCACAGAGCTAGCAGGCAGTCCCAAGGTGATGTTAGGAAGAGAAGGGGAGGTGTAGAGCGAGAGATGGCTAACTGAACCATCCCGTGCTGCCAACCTCTGAAGCAGAGAGACCTGAAAACACACAACCACACAGCATTACAGCACATTATAAGAGTGTTTGTACACACACAAACATGCACAGACAAACTCACAGAGCTCGAGTTCTCCATTAAAAAGACAGACATAGCCAATTTACTTCGGGATTCGTCTGGTCAAACTGTCTGGCCCATTCACACAAACACCAAAAGACACACACATGCACACTCTGGCAGGGATGTTTGTTACCTCTCCTGGGCAGCTGGAGATGGTGACCCCGTTCTCATTGGGGATGTTACTGGAGCTGTTGTTGGGGGAGCTGGGACCTGAGCCGGGTGCACTGTTGCATGCAGACTCTGGAACACACAGCACAAAAATTAGATTTTTCTAACATCCTGGCCTTTAAAAAGCTGAGTTTTCTGAGATGAAATAGGAATATGTTATTCGTTGATCTTATTTTTAATAGCCTTTTGGGTGTATTTATACTACTTATATCCAAAACTTCCCTGAAATGAATCATGACAGTATTTATCTTCATTTATATGACACTTTTTGGAATGAATAAGCCATCAAAGATCCAAATTCTGAAATTCAGTCATTGATAGTCTTAATATTGGCCATAATGGTGATATTAAAACCCTTTTTTAGTCTACAATAGTACTGGGATGATCAGATTCGCAACAGAAGGAATCCAGCAACCAGAATGCTTACCGGCCACGTCTAGGGAACGCTTCTTGGCAGTAGTGATGGGACCATCTTTCCTTCGGAGCAACGGGCTGCTGCGGCGCTCTGTCACTTTCTGCTTTAGCCGGGAACGAAGCTTGAGGTTGGGCTCAGAGGCTGACGGGAAAAAGAGATGGAGGATTCATTTCATAGGTGAAGACGTTTCCGTACAGGGTAGGACAAAAAGAAGTTGAGACATTCTTAACATCGACAAAGGTTATGTTTTCAGTACGATTTGTTGGTTTGTTTGTTAGCATGAATATGGGAAAAAAACTGAAAAAGCCCTATTTTCATAAAACCTTGATGAAGCATTGGCTAAGGAAGAACCCATTACATTTGAGATCATATCAGATGAATGGGGCTGATACAAGCATTATTTTTCACTTATAAATGCACCTACCAAGGTTTTCCCCTCCAAGTTGAAGGCCAGCCGGCTGACAGCCAATTCCCATCTAAATCTCAGACTCTGATTGTCAGCCACCCTCCTAAAGTTTCCTGACCATGTCTGTCTACATTCCACTGTTAAAACACCTATTCATTCATTTGCACGTTTCATTTTGAGATGCCAATTCCGTCATGAAAAAACGGAAATCCGCTAATGTCAGCGCAAGGGATTTCTAGCAGATAACTAAGCAGAGCTAAGCAATGGCAGGGTTAAATATTATATTTCTAACTGGGCCACCCATTCTAATAATATGAATGTGTTACACCCAAAATTAGCCCTGTAAATGTGTAAATGACAGATTCTCTCTAAAGTGTCGCTCGGGGCACAGCGCTTCGTGGTAGATTGCTGTGGCCTACAAGTGGGAGCTTGTTCAGTGGCACGTAGTGGAGCCAACGAGCTCGTCCCTATAGGCCACACTGTATGTGTTGGCCGACAGATCCGTGAGCTGAGGTTAGCCATCATCGAGTGACAGAGGGAAACGCTGCGACAAGAGTGGACGCAGCCAACTGGCAGCTTTCTTGACCCCACGCTTAATGATGCTCTCTCCACGCTCTGCCAGGGAACACTACTTGTTTCCAGGCACTTTCAATTACTGCCACTGCCTGTTGTCATGTGTGTTTGTATGCATACAGTACGTGTTAGCCTGGTTGTATTTTTCTGGGGGCTGTGTATCCTTTTTTGGATTTGCAGTGAAGCTGTTGGCCACAAATGGGTAGAATAGAGAAGAGCCAAGCATTCAGTACATTTTGGGAATCTGGTCGGGTCAGGGATAGGACCTGACCTCTTCTGGACAATCTTGCTTTAGTGTCCCTCTGCCAGATTACCCCAGACACGGGCTGCTTTATTCCCTCCTCCGCTGGCTTCCTTCCGTTCAATTAGATGAGGAATGGATGGTTAACCAACAGTTGACCCCATGCTCATCCCACGACCTTGTATCAAAAAGACCACGCTACGTTAGCCTCAGAGAAGGAGCTGGCATTTGTTGGTAGAGGCAAGGGGAAGCAATTGATTCTTCATTGTGTACTGAAGTGATTTATTGTTAGAAGTCTTATTCAGGGTCATTATAAACCCTTCATGGTCAGTAGCCTTGAACGCTAATCAAGGTAGGATGAAGCTACATAGAGTTGTATTCTACTTCAAGCACTCAGTACACCACCTGGTTGGTGGGGATAAGATGACCTATTGTGAATTCATAATGTCAAAGTACTTTTTCAAATGCACTTTCAATTTTGAGGGGAACATGCCGTTGAACTTATCAAACTCAATTACTTAAAAAAAGACATTCTTCTTAGTGAAGGGCACTCTTCCAAAGTCTTTGTTAAGAGGAGGTGGAGAGGGTCAGGATCAAATGCTATGCAATAACTAAACAAGAGACATTTGAAGGGGAAGACTTTGAGAAAAGCAGCATAGTGCTCTCAAGTTTCATTTGAGTCTATCACACTGGGAATTATAGTAATGTAGCAAAATAATTCGGTGTTTAATTTAACTTTAATTGATGCATGCACATCTTGTGATTGTTGGCATTTGCTGTAGAAACGAGTGGTTGTTTGTGAAGCCAATAATTCAACATCATTTGAAAGCGTGTTGGAAGAGCATATGATACGTGGGGCTGAAAATACAGCTTATATTAGGTGATCGTGAACAAAACCACAATTAACAAAGTTAAAGAGGAATTTGAATGATGGTACCATTTGAATTTGTTTTGACTGTATAGATATTTAGATAGACAATAAACATGCATTGTATACTTGATAATGTTTCTGATACATCCCTAATTCTTACTATGCTTATTCCATTAAGGTCTTGTTGTTGGAATTGCCACCGTCGAACATGCTAAATGATAAACAAACATTTGCTATGCTTAAAAATATTACCCTGGTGTGACAGGAAACATTATTAGCCTTCACTGTGAAGACAGTGGGGCTGCAAAGGTGACAACAACTGTGGTCAATCTGGTGGGAAGCCAGAGGAGGAACGATAAGGCACCCCAGGATAATGGAATAGAGGAAGGGGGGGTGGTCAAGGTTGTGTTTGTGTGTCCTGAGTCATTAAGAAATGGACAGTTAAAAGGAGGAGTGGATAAATGGAAGGTTAGAGGGAGGTTAGGAGGACAGTAAAGGAAGGAGGTGTGTGTGTGTTTGCTGGGCACTGGTCGCCATGGGGTGTTCGCCTCAGGACGCAGTGACTTTGAAGGGTGTTAGTGCCGACTGGGCAAAAGCACACCAGTGTGCACACGTGCGAACACACTCGCTGCAGAGGGCCCAGACTGGTTTTACTGCTGATGCTAGCGTTTTACTGCAGCCCTTTCTCCCTCCTTCGACTCCATCTACCCCCCTCCCCTCCCTTTAAATCCCCACTCCTCTCTTTCCTCTGGCATAGCTCCCCGTTCCCTTCACTGCAGAGCCTTTGTGCAGTTCCTTTTTTTAATGCATTCTAGTAGAAACCATTGGTGAAGGTTAACAACAAGCCTTATTAGTCTACTTACAAGATTGACGGCCCAGAAAATTGCAATTCTAAACAGCATTTACCAAAGAATGTCCAATTTCCTGCCACATTCGGACACTCATTTTGGGTGGGTTTGTACATTTGGAGCACTTTTAGTATCTGCCATTCGAATATTCAGAAGTGCTAACTCTCTGAGTGGCAAAACGTACTCTGGGCTCTTCCTCTGAGTAGATGGCGCAGCAGAGCAGTGATTGTGCTAAAATTACCAGTGATTGTGCTAAAGTTTGGCCAAAATGATTAAAAATATTAGCTAAATAACAAGCTTACATTTCCTAAAACTACAGCATACATTTTCAAGTTGATGTTTACAGGGATATTGTGGAAGGCTATCACATTGCATCATAATCAACTATTATGATGTTATCTGTAGATTTCATGTCATGTATTTAAACTCTGCCGTCTGTTAATCTAAGGAGGAATACAACGCCGTGATTTTAAGCAACAAGACTCATTTTAGTGAAGAGTGTCAGGATGGTTTTTGAACGAACCCTTAACATACCCTTTTGTCAGGCAACAGCAATTCCTACCATGCATTGCTAAATTGGCTTTTGAAGCAAGGAAATTAAATAATACACTCCTGAAACCAAGGTAGCATTGTATATTTTTTTATATTCTAACTTGGATTCCGAAAGTGACCTGTGGCCTGAAATAATTAATCCAACTACAAAGAAAAGTGCCATTTCTCTAAGCCTGATTTACCTCTACATGTTATCCCATATTTCAAATATGCGCTCAAGAGGTTCAAGGGTTCTCTCTGATCCACTCTCACACTTTAAAACTATAAAGTGAAGTCCCTTCTGCTACCCATCTTATGACATATCAATACCAGATTAAACGTCTCTGTAAGTGGTGCTTAATATTTCAATCGGGAGTGGAGGAGGAAGCTGGTTCTCTGATACAAAACATATTGATCAGGCGCTCATCTGTTTTGACAGATGGGAGTCCCGGGCTTCATGCTGGGGGAAGCCGTGCTGCTCTTCCAAGTAAGGGCAGAAAGGGAGGGAGATTTATGGAAATCAATAGAGTAGTTTGCCGAAACTCATCAGTGGAGCTTCCCAGAATATCACGTTGATGATGCATTAGATAGACAGGTTAGATGGACATAGGTAGACAGATACATAAAGGGGCGGCTGAGCTCAGGAGGTAACACGGTAGTCACCAATCAGAACGTCTGTCCGGAGGGCATAGCCAATGGACTGTTATGGCACATTTCCACTACACGGCCTCGCTCGGTATGGCTAGACCTCGTTAGGCCTCGTTAGGACTGGCTCACTTTATGGCGCATTTCCATTACAGTTTAGGAACTGGGGTAGTATCTATAGTAACGCAGTGTAGGCGGAGCCGTGATGTCATCTTCAATGAGAACCCCAGAAAAACAACACAGCCGTTAGCTGTTAGCACTCAGAGCTCACAGCTCCTCATATATGTTCAGAAACTAGACAAAAGTTAAACAAGTACAAACCACAGACTGTCTGTGTCATGGCGAGTACAGTCGCTGCTTTATTTATGTCTGTATAGGCCGTTGTTGTGAGTGTGGACGGTCGGAGCATATACTGCGTTAGCTTAGCCGATCTCCATTTAGACAACACGCATTTTAAAAGGTTTTTCGCCTGCCGTCTGTCTGCAGACTTGTCAAAGCATTAATTCATGGTTTTTACTAACCGGTATCAGTATGTTGTTACTTCGGCATCATTTTGAAACGTGTATTACAATTAAATCACGGTCAAATATGTTCATCTTGTTGTAGTTGGGGCCCCCTTGCCAGCGATTCTCTCTCTAGTTTAGCAAACTCAGCCCGACTCAGCCTGGTTGTTGGCCCGGAAAGAACCTCGATTTTATGGGGCCAGAAAAACTGTGAAATAGTACCCGCTAGCCGGTACTACGCTAAGTGGAAACGCAACCAAAAACGGGCCCTGCACGGCTCGGCACGCTTAAAGCGATCTCCGCGCTGTAGTGGAAATGCGCCATTAGTGTTCATCTCTCCTGATGGGCAGGTGACAGCTTGTATACAAGTTTCTGCCTTTGTATAAAAATGTGAAAGGGTGAATGTTGTGAAAGTGCTTTGAGTGGTAAATATAACATGAAATACCATGTACTAACATATAGATAAGTATGGTGGATACATATATAAAGGTTTGTTTTTTATCTGTTTACACTTAAATGATTGGTTAAAAAGGATGTTGTGTTTAAAAAGGTCTAATCCCTAGTTATTTGCGAAATACATTTGTCTTCGAATTCAGAAAGAAATGTTACGTTAGGTTTTTGATTTGTTTTATTCGTCTGTTTGTCAACCGGAATACAGGACAAATTGAAAGCCATGGAGATTAACTTGAAGGAAGGGTGTAGCATTCACCACAGAAGAATCCAATACATTTTAGAGAGTATCTAAAAGAAAGGGCATACACACATATTTTGTCTCTTTCTTTAACATTGCAAGATAGGGTATAGAGTGCCACAGTGACGCGTCCTAAAACCCGGATGTAAACTCCTTCCGGTTCCTTCGTCAAAAACCAATGCAATTTCTCCATAGGATTTTGGAAAATAGCTCGAAATAAGGTCTGTGGTTGACACACATTTAAGAGACGGATCACGTTTTGTTCAGCCGGATAATATCCACATGTCTACCCTACTTTTATAATTTTCGAATCATAAATCTAGTCGCCAGAAGCAAAATGCTAACGTTATGCTATAAAGGAACTACAGCAGGGTCGCTGCTTCTTAAGATCCATATTCAAACATACAGATTCTAAATTGTACAAGTTGAAGCGTTTGTTTGAACAGTTTGCAGGAGGCAGGTACTTGCTTTCAAGCAGAACACGGGGAAAAACAAAATTAGCGGGAGTGTTTACGTGTTCGGTGTAATGACGTACAACGTCCTCGACAACTTCTGTAGTCCTATTCAGCCACTTGTTAACAACCATCGTTTTTCAGACACGTCAACTCTTCAAAAATCACCAGTCATCACTGCTGATGTATTTAATGTCATAGAACAAAACGTGATCTGTCTCTTCAATTTGTGTCAACCACAGACCTTATTTCAAGCTATTTTCCTAAATCCTATGGAGATATTGCATTGCTTTTTGTCGAAGGAACCGGAAGTGGTAAAAATGCTAACTTACAGTACTTCCGGGTTTTAGGACGCGTCACTGTGGCACTCTATTATGGCGCATTTCCACTACACGGTCGGCCTCGGCCACACTCGGTACGGCTCGGTACGGCTTGGCCGCGTTGGGCCTTAACAGGGCCGACTCACTTCATGCTGCGCTTCCATTACAGTTTAAGAACTGGGGTAGTTACTATAGTAACGCAGTGTAGGCGGAGCCGTGACGTCATCTTCAATGAGAAATCCAGAAACACAACACAGCCGTTAGCTGTTAGCACTCAGAGCTCACAGCTCCTCATATATGTTCAGAAACTCGACAAAAGTTAAACAAGTACAAACCACAGACTGTCTGTGTCATGGTGAATACAGTCGCTGCTTTATTTATGTCTGTATAGGCCGTTGTTGTGAGTGTGGACGGTCGGGGCATATACTGCGTTAGCTTAGCCGATCTCCATCTAGAAAAACACGAATTTTAAAAGGTTTTTCGCCTGCCGTCTGTCTGCAGACTTGACAAAGCATTAATTCATGGTTTTTACTAACCGGTATCAGTATGTTGTTACTTCGGCATCATTTTGAAACGTGTATTACAATTAAATCACGGTCAAATATGTCCATCTTGTTGTAGTTCTAGCCCTCTTGCCAGCGCTCCTCTCTCTAGTTTAGCATACTCAGCCCGACTCAGCCCTGTTTGTTGGCCCCGATAGAACCACAATTTTCTAGGGCCAGAAAAGAGGTGAAAAAGTGGCCCCGCGCCGTGCCGCGCCGGAACTAGGCCTAGTGGAAGCACAACCAAAAAAGGGGACGGCACGACACGGCACGCTTAAAGCGAGCTCCGCGCTGCAGTGGAACTGCGCCATTAGAGGTCTTATGTGCTCTCCAAGTTTACTTCTATGAAATTGGAGCCAAGATGTTGTAGTGTTTCTTGAGTCTGATACAGATCCTTGTGCTCTGGATCAGATAAAGAACATGGAAGTGCTATATTTTATGTGGATATCCTGCAGGGTCTACATGTTCAGTGTGTTATGGGAATGTGTGTGTGTGACAGTTTGTGAAAGAGTAAGGGACAAAAGGGGTCAGCATGACAATTCTGCTTCTGTCATGAAGGCCTAACAGACTTCCTGCCTCAGCATTCAAAGTGGCCCTCTGTGTTTCTCAATTATCACAGAGCCTCTTAGACTTGGACAATGAACCCTGTTGTGAAATACTGTGTGTGCGCCTGGTCTTGCCTCGGAACGTACATTTAGAATTTACACGCCTACATTCGAAAAATGGGTCACCGCAGGCAAAAACGTCATGGGTGACAGCTCTGATCGTCACGGCGGTGCACAACTGTGCTGACTACTGTCACTCACTTCCTCTTGAACACAGTTCACCTCTGTCTGCGAGTCTAATCTGATCTGCAGTGTGGCTGCTCACTGTTGACACAACAGTTCCTCAACAGCCGGGCAGATGCGTGCACATGTCAGAATTCCCTCTCTGTCTCTCGACTGACGTAAAAAAGATGAACGCTGCATTCAAATCTCAATCCGTATTTTTACATTCTTACATTTTTTAGTGTCAATACCTCAACAGAAAAACACAAAGAAAAACAGGGAATAATTTTCCAGTTAAACCATTATCAGAAAACCTTTTTATTTTTGTATTTCTTTGGTTTTGAAACTGACAAATCTAAGAATACATGGATTAAACCTTGAATTCTATTTCTTCATGTATGCACAATGATATGCAGTTCTAGTGTGCTTGTTGTACTTGGTGGTAATTGTACAATTTGTGAATATTTCTCAGCACCACTGACACACATCCCTAGAAATTCCTGATCTACATTCAAGTGTCCCTGAAAGTGAATCTTGCCGTCTGACGCTGTGTGCCAGTATAAATCCTTCTTCCTCCCTCCAGCTCGCGGCAGGTGTGCAGGAGTGCAGAGTACACAGAGCTCGGCCTCCAGCTGTGAAAGCAGGCAGTGATACTGCCAAGGCAGCTGCTGACGCTAAGTGAACAATCACAGCCTGGCCATACTTGACTTGGACAGAAGGACGAAGAAATAACAGTGTGATGCATCCAAAAGGCAAGAACTTGGCTTTTATGGACTTTCTAGGACACTTTGCAGAGTAGTTATGGGTTATTTTGTCAAACGGTTTGATGTAGAATATTACGTCTGTGATGGAGTGTTCTTGACGTGTCAATATCAAAAACAGGAGAATAGCCAACTGGTTTTGAAATACATTTAGTTTTACCAGAATATCTAAACCTCACGAAGGAGCAAATGGCTTAATAGAAGTAGGAAAGTCAGAACAGTTTCCACATCAATTTACTGTAAGACCTTAATACCAGAAACAAATTTAGTTTGGAGATATTTTAGGACTGTTTCTTGGCTGTAACAAGTCCGCTTCTTGCCTGACAGCTGGTCCTGGCAAATAAATAGTCTGGCTAACAACCCTTGTGAAATGGTCTGATTGTCATTTATACTCTTTGGTTTTTTGGCAGTAATTAGAAGAAAACAGATGTAATGTGTGAGGTGAGCTTTAAGGGTGCTAGCAGGTTACAAAAAAATGTTTTCTGCTTCCTGTCTTTATGCTAAGCTAAGCTAACTGGCACACAGATATAAAAGTAGATGTTTTATCTAACTTTCATCAGAAAAGCAAACATTTCCCTGATATGTTAAAGAATCCCAATTTCTTTAACTGGGTTTAGGTTTTTATTTGTATTTAGTTTGACTTTGCATACCCTCTCTCTCTCATTTATATTAGAAAAAGACCCTCAAAAGACCTCATTAAATAACTTTTGATATCACATATTTTTCACAATTTTAGGGCTTCCCTTTAATCCTCCAGTAGCTGACTCCTGGTCTATGTGCCTGACTCTGAAACCCAAGAAGTCATTGCAATTGCTAATGCAGGGGAAATGAAGATGATGACTCCCCTCTAGACATGCAGTGGGTGGCTGGTTTTAATACATGGAGAAATATGGATTTAAGAAAGTAACAATAACACAGAAAAAGAAAAAAAACCTTGGCAGCATTGTGTACCTGTTTTGCGGAGAGGGAAGTCGTCTTTTGAGTCGTATGTGCCCAGCATTGGGTGGCAGTACGCTGACAATGCAGTTTGGGGAGGAGAGCTCTGGTCCAAAGAGCTGTGCTGGGTTTTTCTATAAAAGAAAAGAAACACGTATTGAATAAATCAGAATATATGTGTGCTTACCAGGCTGTACTTTACCTGATTTTCCATTGAGACGTACACAAAAGGTGTTCCAGCTCCTTCCACAAGGTCAACACGTTAAAAGAGAGTGCACAACAATGTGGGTGGAATGGAGAAAGAGACAAAGAGCAGAGAAAAGGGACAGAGGCCGACTTTCTTCTGAGAGGGAGGTGGAAAATGAACAGAGAAGGGAAGAGATTCAGGAGAGGAAAGAGGGAAGTACATGTATGGAAGAAGTGAAGACAAACATGGAAAGAAATGGAGAAATGGTGATGCTGGTGACAGTGATGGAAAAGCGTTTTTCTCGCTGATGGCACAATTGTTTTATCATCTCCTGCCTTGGCAGATATATTTGACTGCTTAAAGCCTCTTCAAATATTTAATACGCATGAGAGGTGCCATTGTCTTTTCTCTCAGCCCACTTCAAACACACACACACACCTCAAAGAGAGCCAGCTGTCAATCACTGTCTACACACATGGACGGGGAACCATTTCTTAGTAGATTCCAGGCAAGGATATGCTGTTCTTTGTTGTGGCTTTTTTATTCTTGATGTTGTCTCAGTTTGAAAAATGTTCTATCTTAAATAAGAATGTCAAAAACTAAAAGGCTTAATAAATAAATCAACAAAATAATACTGGCTGATATTTAAAACAGCGGCAATAAAAGGTTTAAACATGTTTTATTTTAAACCAGAAAAACAATAATCATGAAGTCACATTTAAAGATCACGAAAAAATTCAGTCAGTCAATCATTTTCAAAGGAATATCACAAGCACAAAATGACCAGCTGTATATCAGTTAATCCCCCTTGTTACCATGAATTCTGAAGTTTTTCTCGCATGCCTCCACAATGAAAATAAAATACAAAAATGGAGTATGAATTTAACTAAATGGCCCTGTTTTAAACAACTACCACCGTTCTAATGTATTCAGTCCTATGCTGATTACTTCCCAAAACACATGCATTAAACTTAACTGCGATAAGTGTTTCAGCAGAAATGTGTTTCTTTTCAATTCCAGAATTTCTTTTGTTTTTGTATTCGCATGCCAGAAATTCAGTTTTCTTTAGGAATGTAACATAATAAATGGTGAGCGTTTATTATACAAATGATTACCTTGAGGCTGAAGTATTCCTTTAAGTCTAAAAGTATTTCATAGATATGAACTGAGTTTCTAAAGATAATGTTATCTTGCAATCGAAAGGATCCACCTTTATTATTTAAAGGGGCCCTATTATGCTTCACTTAAAACAGCACTCTGTAACACTCGCGCTATTATTGGCTAACGCTCCAACATATCTGGATGTGGAGGGGATATCTCTAAATGGTTGACCAATCACAACAGAGCCGGCCAGCTAACCAATCAGAGCGGACTGGGCTCTGGTTTCAGACAGAGGGTGAAAAGAGGTGCTGCAGCACAGGCAGTATGAGACAAATGAAGAGCTTTTTGAACATTAAAGCATGGAGACATGTCACAAGCAAAAAATACAAATATTAACCTGAACATTAGCATAATATGTCCTATTTCAGGTTGTAAGATGACATGAGTGGATTTAGGTTGAGGGTTAGTGTTATGGCAACAATTCTTCATTCACAACCAGTCACAATCCCAAGTCATGGGTGTTCCAGCGGTGTGGGGCTTTGACACTTACCCATACCAAAAGCGCGGGTCTCCGGGCATACAGTGGTTCAGGCTGCGCTGAGCCAGGGCTTTCTTTTTGTTCAGGACAAACTCCTGAAGTCGCATCTTCACCTCAGTACTAGCGACTGCACCTGAGAGGAAACACAGAAAGACATCGGCAACTCAGTTAACAAAGGGAAGTATACTTTTTTTATCTATCACCTCATTACATTTCTTGAGACATTTGGGCTTTGGTGCCTTTGTATCCAATCTGGGACACTAACGTAAAGATTATAACAACATCCATCCATATTTGGACAGATAATGGAGTTTGTAGCTGCATGCAGAAGTCTTCCCTTAAAGTCCACAGAGATGTGTGACTGTGACTTGCTTTGAAGAAGTTTCAATCAGCTCGCGGTCCCTTCTCAATTACCACCCTCGTTTCACGGCAACAAACAAATTGTCAAGGGAGGGAGATGTGAAAGCGAAACAGAGAGAAGAAGTGAGTGTAATAAAGAGTCCGAAATAAGAGGTGTTCTGAGAATACATGTGTGTTTATCTATGAGTGTGACAGTGGGAGGAATAACAGGTGATGTGTCAGGCTTGAGGGAGAAAGTGGTAAATATAGTATGTGTACGCGACAACTGCTAATATATGCTCTCTGAATCATGGTGCAGCTCGAAGTGCTGACATCTCAATATGTCCGCATTGCCACTGGAGGAAATTGGCTTTTATGAGACTGCCTTCCATGCAATTTATTGCAGTACTTAACAAAGCATCCTCTGTTTACAACCCAATGCTCTTTCCATGGACGTCAAACTGCAGGCTCACTTTGCAAAGCACAGAATGGTTGCGGAGAAGAGCTTCACTGGCAGGAAATGATTGTGGTGGTTATACCATTAAGTATATTTAAATGGATTTATGCTGTTGAAAAAGCACATTGCCTGTCCCAAAAAACACCACCAGAGCATTTTAATCCCATTATTTCACAATAAAAAACTGTTTATTGACTAAATAACTGCACTACTTTAACAAAATAAATATCTCTCTTTTTATTGCAGGGATGTGAACTTTATAACTATTATTATTACATTAAGAGGAGTTAAATCTCCATTTAAAGCACGTTTTCAAGTCCTTTATTAAGTGGATACAGCTACTTAGTAACACATTTGGTAGGACAAGTTGATTTAAATGACACCTTTCCACAGCTAGTCAATAGAATGTGTTTAACATATAGCGATTAGTCTCTTATGTAGCCTTCTTCAGTATGTATGCAGTAAAAGAACAATGACAGGAGAAAGAAAATCAATTGGCTCGACCCAGCTTGAAGATCGGCTACATCAATTAGCTCCTGCCTGAAACATTTTGAAATTTTGTCACGGCTGATTATTTGAACATTAATATTTTGTCAGTCAAAATGAGAGCACTGTGCAGCAGGATCAGTGTGACTCCTGACAGCAAAGGGACTATCAGTATCAAATGCTAAAGTTAAATAACAGAGAATGACTTTGGTTTTCGAGGCGTTAGTTTTTTTGGTCATGATCGCTTTTACACAACAAAATATTCACTGAGGTCTGGGGTTGTGGCAACAACATTTGCTATATTTGTGCATACACAGTTTTTCAATATTGTATGATGAAAGATATTGAAAGTGATTTACACAATCTGGCTAAACTATTGGTTTGTTTAAAGGAGTCTGGTCATCCGACAGCTTGTGTTTCTCACTATTTGTAGCAAATGTCATAGTGTAATTGCTTGCTGAAAAAAAAAAACTTTTGATATCATGGTTCTATTTTAGGGGCTTCTTTTAACTCTCAAGTTGTTGACTCCTGGTTCATGTGCCTGACTTTGAAACCCAATAAGCTATTTTGTTTCCTGAGCGAAATGACACATATTGTACGAGGACATGTGTGCCACTTGAACGTCTTGCTGGAAACCGTTTTTCCCCTGTTGTTCTGATACTCCCCGCGGTAAGTGTGCGAGGACAGGTGCTGAGACAGAGAGGCCAAGTCTCTGTGACACCTGCTGTGATAATATGAGCACAGTTACAGCAGATGTTGGCAGCATTCAAGAGATGGAAAGGGAATTTATAATGGGTCAAACATGACTGCTTTATTTCCAGCTTGAACCCAAGTGATAGGAAAAAAAGGTCATAACTGGTCACTTTATATTTGATTCTGTAAAACGTCCTCTTGGTAAACTACTGCTTTTAGCCAACTCAAAACCTTTTAATCCCATCGTAGTTCAACCTTTAGATTCAGTTACTTACTTTCCTGTCCCCTCTCCTTGTTTTTCAGCTGCAGGAGTTTGTGTTCCCGCTGCTTCTTCTCTATCTCCTGCTCGTGACGCTGGTGCTCCATCTTCCTCTGGTGCTCCAGCAGCTCCTGTTGGTGCTTAAGGGCCAGGAGGTCCTGTTGGTGCTGGTGGAGAGAGACACAAGACTATAGAAGGGGGAAAAGTACAAGGAGACAGAGAAGATGGGTAAAGGACTATACAGAGGAGGAGCAAAGTTATCAAAGCTGGAAGACATTGGGCCTCATGCAGAAAGCGATTTACAAACAAATGCCTTCTTATTACTGTTTATGTTATCCATGATTTGTTTCTACTGTTTTAGTTCTCATTGATTTCTGGGATTTACCAATGTTTTCTGGTTTATGCTCTTTTAAAGTCTTCGGGATAATTCTTACCAAGTTAGTGGGAAAACATGTTTTTCAGATGCAAAAAACAGGTTGAACATTGAACAACGTAACGGGCATATAAACACATTTGGATTATTATATGTTTATGAGTCGTTATAGTGAATGGATTCAGAGTTATTTGTAAAATATAGAGTAGGAATAGGACTTGGTCCACTAATACCAATATTAAATGATAACTTGGAGCATGATATTGGACTGTAATGCCACTACTGGTTTGTTTAAAGAGGCCCTATTCTGCTTTTTGGTGTTATCCCTTTCCTATAGTGTGTTATACGTCTTTCTGTGCATGTAAATGGTCTGCAAAGGCTATAATCCCAAAGTTCCCTCCAGATGGAGTTTTCTCTCCCACCTGCCTGAAACACCTCCATTGGTTTTTGTTTACTTCTCTCACATAATGACATCCCCATGTAACAAATGTATATTGGCTAGTACTCCAACACAAATACGTGATAGGCTAAAAGGCGGGACATCTCTTAGCGGTTGATCAATCACAACAGAGCCGGCCAGATAACCAATCGCTATATATCATTATAGCGATTAACCAAATGCCTACAAGTTATGATCTATATGGATTTTGGATGGGTAAGAATGTTTGGATTGTCTTGACTTACAGTAAGAGAACATTTGAGAAACGTTTACGAGTGTTGCTGCATGAGACCCAATGTTGTAACAAGATGTTGCCATAAATCAGCAGAAATGTGAGAGCTAGCTAATGTAAAGGACATGACATGAGCAAGCCAAGACCAAAATGCTAAATGCTAACCAGAGGGATGAAGAATAAACACCAGAGTTATTCCCATCTTCGATTGATTGTAATCATTAGCTGACTTTCTGGCCATGGCAACACTAAGGGAAGCTTTTTAGCAAAGTGAGTCACGTACACATTTCACACACGGAAGCGGGTCATGGTTCCCATGGGGATGACTAAGCAGTAAAATACTTCCACAACCTGCGTTTCCACTTACATCACTTAAAATACACATGGTTCACCCTGTCCTTCAGAATTTCTGCTGAGTACAGTCCTGCAGTAGATAAAGCTGAGGAAGGACTCCCTCCTCGTACACTCACCTGGATATGTTCCTGCAGCTGGACTTCATGTTGGCGCGACAGCTGCTCATGCTGCCTCTGGAACTCAGCGATCAGGATCTGTCTCTGGAGCTGCTGCTTGTGTTTGAGCGTCACCAGCTCCTGCTGCAGCTGCTGCTCCTGGTGGTCTGTAGAATAATTTGTTTAGGACATTAGAGAGGGAGATGTTGTCTTCACCTCTATTTCCATCATTACAGTTAGCTTCTTCTGGTTAGGTTTCCTTCATTGTTCATCGTAAAGGAGGTTTTTACTTGGAGCCAAGTCATCAATAGAGGTCTTCTTCCCTCTAAAATCAGTGGACAAGGTCATTAAACTCAGTAAAACCACCTAAATGAAAGCAGTTTCACGTACACAAAGTTCATTCTCGAACATTGCTAGGCAGTCGTCCAGGAGGGGCAGCAAATGCATTGGTCAATAACATTTGCTTAGTGTGTTTCTCTGATAACTAAAGATCCAGGCGTTCTGGACATTTTTACCGGGAGTCAAATGATCATCAGTGCTCTTCTTCTCCTTGACCCGGGGTTTAAAACTGTTCAAAACACTGAAGAAGCAGTAAAGTTTATCCAACCTTGCTCAGCTGGGGCTAACGTTTTCACAGCTGGTGTTCCAGATGGGGATGACTAAATAAATAGTTAAAAACTGTCGAGATCTAAAAATGTCTTTAGTAAAAATGTGACTTAAAATGTGAGAAAAAAGTAAATTCATGACAACTTCTGGCAGACAAGCACAATCATCACTCATGCACAAAGTGGATACAATGCCATGAAAGATGACCAAATAGTCAAAGAGTCTGGAAAGCTAGACACTTCTCGCACTCAACTACTGCTATCTTGGCTACGTAAGAAAAGTCACGCGACAAGCAGTGATAGCAGCAGCAGTCAGCACAACACAACACAAGACACATAAAAGTTAAGGTTTAAGTTAAAGTTTTTCCATGTTTAATACACGTAGCACCTCATGGTGTTGGAAAAAAGCCACCGTTAGCGACAACGTTGCTACCTCGCTAACAGCGGTACATCACTTTTGGTGAGGGCACAGCAGCCATGTGCAATTTAAAAAAACACTACTATGGTAGGAATTTACGCAGTTCAAAAGAGTTCAAAGTGTACGACATGGCAGTGTAAGTATCCAAATCGAGATACAGCAAAACAGGGACTGTGATTTAAGTTACAGAGTTTTCTAGGTGTTAAAATGGTTGTATAACATAGTCGTTTTCAGCCTTTTGAATATAAACATTGCACAGTTAAAAATATCCAGATACAACTTTTAGCCACAAGACCTGACAGTCAGAGATGGTCCCCACTTACTGATGACTGGGCCGCGGCCTGGCTCCGAGGACGTGGGACACGCTGTGGAGACGGGCGCTGTAGGATGGGGCTGGGGAACCAGGCCGAAAGAGGGCTGCTGGTGGTGGTGGTGGTGTTGGTGGAGGTGGGGGTGGTGGTCCACTACGCGCAGATCCATGGGAAGGATGGCTGAGGAGCCGGGGGGCACCTGCATGGGCAGTGATGCCGAGCTCACGTCCACTATAGGAAGAGAAGAAACAAGCACATAAAGATGGAGTTTGTTAGGAACATGAAGCAAATAACTCCGTACGATATGTAAATAGGACATGAACATTTTGACCCCAACAGCAGATTTCTATCTCTCAGGGCTTTTGAGTTCAACTTGGCAGAAACAAAATTGAATTATTATGACAGTGTTGGGTTGAGTTGGAGTCCTGGGGAGTTATTGAAGTACATTCATGTTGTTTTCGCCCTATTTATAGTACGATTATATAATACATTCAAGGCCAAAACATTTTTAATATCTTTTGATAGCTGCCAAAACACCCGTCCTCCCTCTGATCCAAACACATCAGCTGTAGCCTTGACTACTGCACTCATTACACTTCATTTTGGTTGTTGGCAAACTACGGCCGTAAGCCTGTTTTACAGTTGTACACATTGGGTAAGAGCATTAGCAAGAAACACAAAAACCTTAAACTGTGTCAGAGAAGATCCTCAGAGAAGCAGGGGCAAAATGTAATGTGATAAACTACACACTTCCATACATCATTCTCAAAGAAAGCCTGTAAACACACACACACACACACACACACTTTCCTTGATACCAATGACAAAAAAAAGCGCACACACACACGGGTAGAATGATGAAACATGGCAGCAGGGAGCAGAAACAATCCCCTGCAACATGACTTCTGCAGCGGGTATTTGCTGACACTCATACAGTTTTTACTGGACTGTGTGTGTGTGTGTGTGTGTGTGTGTGTGTGTGTGTGTGTGTGTGTGTGTGTGTGTGTGTGTGTGTGTGTGTGAACAAGCACATTGTGTTTACTTTAAGCGCAATGCTGACATTGTACTGTATGTAAGTGTGTTTCTTTTACAGAGGAAGCCAAGTTGTGTGTGATGTTGAATAAGATGGATTCTTGGTGTCAACACATATTTGAAAGGACAGCCAAAGAAATACACACTCTGTATCTTTCACACTCTACACACAGACAGGGTTAGACCCTTAAAGGTCACTGGTATAAGCACAACAATTGCACTGTAAACAAAAAGTTATTTTACAGAAGCTAGGGCTGCACATAAAACTAAAATGTATGGAAATCCTTATATGGACTATTGTGATATTCAAATAGCAGAAAGTGAATTATTTGTATTAAGTATTGTTGAGCTGCAGTGATATCCAGGCCTACAAATTGTATTCTAAAGACTTAATTATTACGGATCCTCCCAGAAAATCACACTTTATCATAGATAAAGCCTATAATATTGTGAAACATATGGCAATATCAGTCAAAATAATCCAAATTAGTTGTTTATTTTAATCCAAATTGTGCATTTACGTGTTTCCTAAGTTAAAAACATTTGTGTCGCAAATAATGATACATTTAACAGGCCAGTATAGCTGTTGAAACATGGACACTTTAGAGCCAATACAGTAAAAACCAATATCCCAGCATTGACGTGCAAAAACCGGAGCATTAGTGCAATCAGATTATTTCTCCAAAACAAGCAAACAACACAGCAGCTTACGCACAAGCAGTGGCACAACTCAACATTAGGGGAAAAAACGAAAATGTAATATTTGCCAACTTTTAAGCCTTGATATGTAACTGGAATATGGCGTGCTGTGATTAACTTAACATAGAAGTTGTGAAAAAAAAGAGACGCACACGTTCTATTTTTGATTACAAAGCTCAAACTCAACAAGAAAACCGTTGGCCAATGTTACTCTTAACACTATGTTTCCATAGAAACACACTAACACTGCGCTGTTACTGTGATAGTGTGAAGGTAAAACATCCCAGAAAAGGCACAGAAGTTGATTGCTAGTGTTTAACCTACTACTTTCTTTTTCTATTTTAATTTGAACTAAAACTGGCAGTGGTTTTGAAGAAATGTCATGTCATGCACCATTGCCTTTTTCTATGCTGGTGTTTGAAAATGTGTTTTAGGCTATATTAAGATGAACCATCTTAAATAAGGTAAACTCTTTTTTTGTTGTTGCAGTAAATTACAAAAAAAGCCAGAAAACTAAACAAGATGTTTTCTATACAAGTTGGCGAGGCCATGACAACATTTAAAAAAACATTCAACCAAATGACTTCTACATTTTTGCTCGATATCTGAGCTCCTCTTGATTAAAACCTCTTCTTGTGAGTCCTTTCTGATCGATATGCTCTGTATAGAACCACCTTGCCCCATGATAAGCCCCTCTGCCAGTTATCAATACCCTGAAACCAGTATAGTGCATCTCCGACCTATCACGGGTGTCCTGGCATCCCCGGTGACCAATGAGGTGGCGATGGAATTGCTGAGATAGCCAATGACATGTTTGGTACCGGGCAGTTTTTGAGATTGCGGGAGGAAACTGAACACCACCCTACGGGACAGCAGCAGGGGGAAGAAGAAAGGGTGTGGTCGGGACAGACATGCTGGTGCTTCACTGGTGTGTGTTTGTGTAATTGTGTCACTATCCATGAGGACTTGTTTGTTGGACATTAGAAGTACTTTTTGTGGGTTAAAGCCAAGGGTTAGGTTTGATTTGATTATATTTATTGAGTCACTCAAATCCAGCTCATATGGGGATTCATAATACAATATTGAGGCTAGGCAACAACCTTGTCAAGGTGTCCCAGCCATGTCCTGAATAGAAAACATAAATTGTTAACAATGGATCGGAGAAACAGGTTATCACAAACGAATGAGCGTAGACTGAAGCACATTTTTGTGCACCAATCAATCATAAATCTAAGGGGAAAAAATTCAACATGTTCTTATTCCAGCCTCTTAAAATGTGAATATTTTCCCTTAGATTTGACAGTTAACTGAATAATTTGAAGTTGTGGATGGAAGAAGACATTTGAGGCTGTAAACTTGGTATACGGTAGAGGATTAGGGCCACATCCTTTTTTGATATCCAAGCAAAAAGTTATAAAAAATTGAATGAAAATTGAATTCTGAGAATAAATTCAGCATTCTAAGAAAAAAAGTCAGAATTCTAAATATGGCCTAAATTCTCCTCCGTTTGGTCTTGAGAATCACTGACAACCATTTTGATCCTTATAAGAGACCAAAACAACTAAATGAGTAATCGACAGAATAATCAACAGATTACTCGCCAATGAAATAAGTGGCTGCTTAAACCCCACCAAACGATTCTTGATGTTAATGAAATCAAATGTTTTAAATTTACTGAACAGTTTCATCCATGTTTTATCTTTTTCAGGGGTAAAGGTCAGGCCTGTGCTTGTGATGAAGCTTTGTGTACATGTGCGTGTTAAAATGATTCCTGGACCTCTTTCATACAGACGTGTTTCTTTGTCACTTCAACATAAACAAGCGCACAGAAAGAGAGGCGCCCTGTTTGTCGTTCTCACTCAGAGGAGGTTGCTCTAATCATCCGTGTTGTCCGAACAAAGCCTCTCCCTGTGAACCATGGTAAACGTTCAGCACACCACCTCTCCCGCCTGCACACACAAATAAATGTACACACACATGACAGTCAAGTGTTTGCACACAGATGCAATAAACAACAAGGTCAAACAAACAAAACCTTTTGTTGGGTCAATGCATTTCAAGCGAGTGCCACTTTGCACCATACGGGGACCATTCAGAGGGCCCCTGGCGCCAGCTATTCTAGCTCCGCGGTGAAGAACATGCGTGGACCATCCCCTCAATTAACGCCTTTTCTACTGTAGATTTTCCCATATAGTCATTTGTCGGCAAGCATCGGACGAGAAGACATGTCATCCTAATTATTGCTAGATAGGGCCCCTCGGGTTAGCCTGGTACTCGCCCCATCGCTATTTCTGAACGGTCACCCAAGTGTTTTATTTAGTTAGGCTTCACAAAAGCTTGTTTGTTTTCGCAGAAAGCAAAAAGGTTCCCACCTCCAAACACCAGAAGAAAAAAAAAGGTGAAAAAACCAGAGTATCAAATGCAACCACAAAATCGAATGAATGGCAAATGCTTGTCACGTAATCCATGACAACTTCTGAATTTCAAAAAGCTAGCTAGTAATCAAATTCATGCAGAATTCTGATTCATAACACAGCTAGGTTGGAATGACTGCCTCTGGCCAACCCTGTTCCCCACAAAATTATTTTTCCATAAAAATTACCGCATTCTTAATAAAGTTTGGAGACAAACATATTTTCTGCAAGATTGTGCGAGTTTTCGCAGTTTAAACCATGATGTTAACGTTTAACAAAACTACTTGGTTGTGTGTATAAAAGAAGATTATGGTTTGATTTAAGTACGTTTGTTATACAATTTAAAGTATGTACAATTATTAAAATAAAATATTCAAGATTACATTTTTTGGGACGAAAAATGTGGTATCCTAGGTTAAAGTCCTGAGTTTATTTGACCCATTCATTCACCTCCACCTCCTCCCTACATGGATATGGACTTAGATTTTTTTGTTTTTATTATAACATTCATTCAAAGAACTTAATACTGGATACTGGTTTAAGTTTAAGTAAAAAAGAAAAGAGCAAATCCACCTGACAAAAATAGAACTGCGTTGGCACAAGCATTTTAGTTTTGTGTATGCTTTTGGATTGTTTCCATGCGTAGCATAATGTAGACTTGTATATGTTATTGTGTTAACACAACTGATGCACTTACAGAGCAGTGATCAATGGCCGACTGCAAGCCTGCAACAAGGCAGGACTTACAACAACAAAAAAACTAATTACAGCCACTTATCCTGAAGCACAGGGGCTACAAGTGCAAGTGGCACAGAGAGATGGAGATGGAGAGGAAAAGGGAGGTGGTGTAATCACTGCACCGGCTACTCAGTGGCTAACCACACCGGCTGGCACATTCACATTGTACTGAGTGCTTTCTGCATGTTATCATATTTGCTACAAACAGGAGGTATTTTGGAGTGTTAACCTTTCAATAATCTATTTTTTGTAGTTTCGTTGCCTAGGGTTAGTGGTTTTACTTCTACAGTTTCATATTTTTTGCACAATATTATAATCACAAAGTACAGAGGTAATGAGAGGCTAGTG